TGACTATAAGTATATATCATATGATTGAGTTTGTGTCTCGTTACTAATGGCAATGCATTAATATGGTTGAAAATCGGTGGTACCATAACTGTATCACAACATTAGATCATTGCTATGTTACATAAATAAGCCCAGTAGCAGATTTGTCTTTTTCTCTGATGTTATATAACTTTATCTATTCTTGTGTCAGTATAGCATGCTTTTAGAACACCTGTTAGGACTGTTGTCACACAGGTGGTGTGAAGATTATGACTCCAAAAACAGTATATAAATAGATAGGATACTGATTAACTTGCTGGCATTTTGGTTGTTCTAGGAACAGTAACAGTAAATAGATGTAGACATGCATATACACGCGAGCTTTTATGTAGACATGCATGGAGAGAGAGGGTGGTTATTTATTGAATAAATGTTAAATGAAAATCAGAATTATCATTAAGCTCACAACAATAAATATAATAGTTCTCATGTAGTCACTGATGCAATATATTTTAATGAATTTATGGTTTTATTATAAACTATATCTTTCATACATGGATTGTCTTGTGTGCAGTTGTTTGTATGTGTAAAGTATCTGTCTACATGTATGTCTGTAATCTTTTGACCTTTTTAAAGGTAATGTGTTTTTATATATAATGTATCTTGTGTCTGTAACCGCCATTGTCTGACTTGATGGATATTATGCAAAAAGCCAGACTTTGGACAAAAAAAATAGGTCAGGGCTCAGATATAAAAAAAAGTGGTCGATAAACAAACACTATGCTTTGCTTAACCTTGAGAAGTTCACAGGCATGCTTCTGATGTCATCAGTTGCTTAGCAACACCACAAGTAGAGTGGAATTATCCAATACCTGAAGGGCAAGGTGATAAATGGACATTGCACGCTATTTTAGGGGAGAGGTGTTGGAAATTTTTAAAGGAAAAAGAATCACATTATCGTATGGTATCTCATCCAGGTTTGTAGAGCTTAAATCTTATAATATTTAACTAGATCATTGTTGCTGGGTTAAGTAATTTGTGAATATTTGAGTGGATGGGGCAGCTCACTGAAGCAGGGATGATTATGACACACTGAGGTCTGTAATGTTATCATGATTCACTAGTTTTGACCTAATTTCGGGGGTTTATGTTATATGTCACAGAAATTCATTCATGCTTACTTATATGGCTAGTGCCTTTCTCCTCTCTCTGGCTTTGGAGCTAAATTGGTTGGTTTGTAGATTAACATGTAACAAAATTGCTTCTTTTGAAAGATTTTTATAAGCAAAATTGGGTCAGTATAAGGTATGTGTAGTTTTACAATAACTTAATTACTTGTGTGTGTGTTCAGATTAACTGTTTGGGCAAATGTATTATATGTATATATAAATTATATATTTTTTCTGTAGAATTGTAATTTGGTTTATTGTTAACAGGTTTTGCTTTCATAATTTGAAATCTCAGCATTATTGTATAGGCCATGGGTGAAGGCTCTTCCTGCAAAAATAGTTTATGGAACTGGCTGTTAATTACCTCTGTCAAAGCCGAGATCCATGCATGAAACAATAAAATTTTTAACCTACCCCATATACATTTTTGGGTCTATTGGCAACAGAGGTGTGGAGTTTGCTTACAATGCAAGACTAAATTAGCCCGGAATAGACAACTGGGACAAAAAGAAAAAAAAAAAGAGACACAGCCATAAATTATTTTTATTATATTTATCACGCAAAGAGGCTCTTGTGTAATCTATAGGGCCATAGTGATGTCAAATCTCCAGTGCTGTTTACTATATTTGATCTAAGGAAGTCATGCAATTTGAACTTGACTAGCTTCTCCTGTTATATGTGAACTGTCTGTCAAGGTGACCTCAAAACAGTCTTTTTGTTTCTAATGATATTACAGGAAACCTGTACATGTATCACAGCCAGTGACTTGAGAGGCACCAGAGGACGCTGGTAACCCACCTCTCCAAAATCCCCTTTACACTGGACGGCGTCCTTTCTGCGTACTGCAGTACAATCCTGTTTGAGAGTAAAAAAAATAATAATAATTCATAACGTGCCGACAACTGGCCTATCATTGAGCTTTCATTCTGCAACCAAAGCGATACTTGTGCCTCCTTTCTATGACAACAGCGCTGCCAGTTTTATGGCTACAGCTAGAAAGGACACCATCCAGTGTAGAGAGGTTTTTTAAAACGACATGCTGGGACATGCTGAGGTCAGTTTCCATTGTTTTCTGAAAATCATGGTGGACTAGGGTTGTTGTGTGGATGCATTTAGTACATTTCAGATTGAGGTTTTTTGTTGCTTTCAAATTGAAATGGAATAAAAAAAGAGGCCTGAATTGTTAGCAGAACTTTACCAACAACCAGGTAGAAGTTGGGTTAGACATTTCTTGTTGAGAGAATCTGTCTTCAAACGTCATTACATTTTGATGTACATTTTTAAAGATAGGTTTAATAGAAAGCAGTGTCATATCATGAAATGGTAGCAGTCTTTAGAGTCTGCAAGTGGAATGCATGGATAATTAACCACTGAGCAATCACTGAAGTAGACCAAAACAATTTTGAGACTTAAATGTGCGTGAATGTGAGATTTCCATTTGATGAAGTGAAATGTGTTAGGTGAGACAGGAGGCAGATGATTGTTCTTGGTGTACATCTAAGTCAACTTTGAAATGCATATAAATATTTACAGTATGGTTGTGGTTGGTTATCATGGCTTTCAGAGATATCAGATTAACTGATGAAAGACTGTCTGTTACTTAACAGTTTATTTAAGTGGTCTCCTCTGTTTGATGTTGCAGATATATCTGATAGATATACGATTTGTGACAGGCAAGTAATGGTTGCTTTTATGAATAATGTAGCCATTGCAGGAAAATAGTGTGCTTTTATTCTATTGTGTTGTGTGATGACTCTGTCACAATCACCTGTTTTGTTAGTGTTGGACTCTGAACACAAATATGGAATTAGAACTGACCATGCCACAGGAGATGGAGACAGCTGGGTCAAGTATCACTAACAAAGTTTAACCTTAAGGCTGTATTCACAACAGCAGACTAACTATTCTACGGATCAAATATGGACCACCCACTTGAATGGTTGTTGCATAATCCTCACGGAGAATCTATTTAATGCCTATTAGGGATTAGACGGCAAGCTTTTAAGTGGGTCACCATATTTGATCCTTAGACTAGGTAGTCTGCTGTTCTGAATACAGCCTCACGGACGGAAAATTTGGTCTACTGAGGTAAAGAAAATTCTGCTTAGATAAAGTAAGTCCTGGTCTGTAAAATAAGACTTGCATTTATTATTATGTGCAAGGCATAATATACATTTAATTGGACTATCATTGATTTAGTTAAAAGTAGCCTGCTTTTTTTGTCTGAAAGTTTAGACTAATAATTGGGTTTGAGGATACAGACAGGGTTAGACAAAAAAATTCAAAATTACTGTCATTATGTACATGCTTTTGGATTATAGATGAATATTCAAGTGTTCACTGACTAAATTCCTTTGAATTTACCCAAATTCCATTTTATGGATGATGTCATATTTGTGATTTTGGGATAGAAATTGCAAATTTGGTTTTTCAAATTTCTTCTGAACCTGAACACCAACAGACACCATTTTATTGCAAATTTATTGACACCATTCAGTAATTCGAAACCCTGTCAGTGATTTTTCTTAAAAGTCTTAGTTCAAATGTTATTGTTTAAAAGGCAAAATAATGCATTTGTTTTATGAAGCATTGTAATCAGGGCTTGTAACTCAAAAACATTTTAACCAAAATAATGTGAGTGAATTGAAACCTTTACACTTGTCGTCAGATATGTCAATATTCATGGTGAGATCTTCTTCAGGGATTAAATAGGCCCCATACGATTGCTGTCTCCCCTCAAAAAAGAAAGCTGTTAAATTGATGATAGATACTGAGGAGGGGGGACCTTTGCCTGACTTCATGCGCATCATACAATGACCTACATTTTGAATTATACTGTTTTAGGAACATTATAATTATTTCCATCTGACTGGAAGATTTATTTTGACCAAGAAATGCAATAAAGCACAAATGATTAATTTGCTCAGTATTTATATCAAGCATTTGTTCAAAAAAGAAAAACAGAAAAAACTATGCTGCCCTTACTGAGGATTAAAGGGATAACAACTGTTAATTTTGGCCAAAAAATAAATTTTCCTGGGATAAAGGACAATTTTCCCATACTTACCAATGGTAAATGAATCCCACATTCAAAGTCAGTCCCTTTTTTTTTTTTTTTTTTTTTTTTTTTTTTAATATTCTCTAAAGAGATTATTACAGAGTGAAGCCATCTATGAAGGTCACGTGACACGATGGCAAGCACAAATTCCAGAATAATTGCGTTAACTGCTGTTTTGGTGGTGAAATAGAATTTATTATATTTCAATGAGTTGTTTAAAATGTATTTATTGTAAAATAGGGATATCTTACGAACAGTTGTTATCCCCTTAATTGTGCCTAAAATGCCACAATATGTCACTGTTTTAAAATATACACCATCATATATGTACCCACTCAAGGCATTTGTGTATATTCAATTAAATCTGCTAGCTATTCATTATTAGATGACTGGTGTTGTTATATGTTAGCAAGTGAAATGAACAGTGACATATTGTCACCTGTTAAGCCACCTTGTTTATGGCAGCTACTTAACATCACCTGTTCCTTGGGATGGATATACAAGTTACAAAAATAAACAAAAACTTTAATGCAAAACAACTGTTACTGAGATACCTTGAAAAATTTCATATTTATTCTGATTTACTTATGTAGGCTATTCCTGTTATATATTTTGTATGGGCTATTAAAGGAAAAACATTAATTCACATGCTGTTGCCATACATGCAGTAGTTAAATATATATTGTGTTCCTCATTTATTACATTATTTAAGGTTGTGTCCTGATAAACAAAGCATTCAAGGTCAGGCACATGTACTGTTGTGATATTTTATCCTTTTCATTTAAATTTTTCAGGTCATGATGCGCCTTTGTTCTTTTCCAAGAAAGGACAGATACAGAACCCGATAAGTCACGCCAGCAGAACCTGTAAAAACGACAACCCTGAGTACCTTCTGCGTGAGAAGCATACAATGATGGTTGATGACTTTAATGTGTGATGAGTAGCATTGTCATAGGTACCTGTACATAAGCCAGGATGGAATAGTGCCTTTCGTAGCAATATAATGGAGCAAGATCCAGCCCTTAATGTCAGGTCATTGGGGTCAAAGGCCGGGAAGCTAGAGGGAGCCGAGGAAGTGCCACAAAGCAGTCAGGTTTTTGCACAGGTAAGGGACGTCATGTGCTACCCTCACTGTTTAATTATGTATTTTTGGAGCTGTATTATTTATTCAGCCTGTTGTTTGATAGGCAATATAATTGGGATGATTATGTGATATTTTGTTTATGCACTGAGTTGCTTTATGCCAATTTCAACCCTGTTGGGACAGGGTTGCTTACATAAAATAGTTTTTCTAAGGTACACTTTTATTGACAAGGCTCACCCTTGCAGAGCAAATTTTTGCTAAGTGCATAAAACTATCTGCATTGATTGAAGTATACTTGGCATTGGCAATGGATTTTGAAAAGTTTTATCATTTTAACCCAGTTTTGCTGTTAATGAGTGAAAAATTAAATATTTGGCACCAGAAAAATGATAAAGAGAGACTCCTTGCTTTGTGCAAACCAACTTGAGAGGTAATAATATTTATTGATAATGTTTCTAGTTATACATGTTCGTCTAAAAACAAAGTCAAACTCTTTCAAATGGGCAGGTCCCAGTTGTATTGACGGGGCGTAATTTTGGCATAGTAGTTACTCCTGAGCTACTTCATTGTAGAACGATGCACCAGAGGAAAGTTAGTTGCACCAAACTGGAATAGTGTTTACGCTAGTTTTAACTTAGTTGTAAATATATCTATGCCATCACTAATGGGCTGGATTTGGTCTTACAGTGCAATTTAAGATCACAAGTGATCTTACACGATCTTAATCATTACAGCAGTAGTCTTAAAATGGACTGAATCTGCTTTTAAGATTAAAAATGATCTAACATCTACTTAAGTGGTCAAGCAGTTTCCTCCCCTCACAATGGGGGATGCCTCCCCTCACAATAGAGGACACCTCTGCTCACAATAGGAGAATGTGTAAGGGGAGACAATGTAATTGGCTGTCAGACCAGAAATGGCCTTACTCATGGTTTAAGATCATGAAGACTATTTGTGAACTTAAATTGCACTTTAAGACCAAATCAAGCCCACTAGTGCATGTGGATGGTGTATGTTAGTCAGAGTCTGTGCTAGTACAGAGTTTCATGAAAATTAATTGCAAGATTTTAGGCACAAAAGGGTTAACGTTCTCAAAGAAAGGCTGAACCTTTTTGCTATTTATGATGATGCCATGCTATATGAATGCTTCAGATTGGATCCCAGCTTGATGCCTGGCACCATATTGGTGACAATTTCTTTTGCATGAATTCAAAAATTGTAGAAAATGAATTCTGTAATATGTTTGTTCAACCACATCTTTTCTGTCTGTAAAACTGAGAGACAACCTTATTTTTAACACACTGAAATACCAGTAGCTATGCTATAATTTGTATGTTGCAGTTAAGCAATTATATGACATGTTGCTTATTGCTTTTCGTATATTTTATGTATTCTGCTGAAATAAGTTTGGAAAGATTGAAAAAAAAATGTTAATTTATCTTAATGTTAAGACAAAATAAATGGTAATAATATGCCTTATATTTAGTAATGTCCAAGTAAAAATTAGTATATTATAGCTTTTTATTCATAAACTTAATAATTAGATGTTGAACTATTTGGTGCAATTACCATAAAGACCGAGAGTTATCCTGTTGCATCGATGCCAGGTGGTTCAGTAAATGATAGTTGTATCTTAACAAATTTATAAATTGGTCCAACTGTGCACAGTGGTTAGCTATCTGAACTTGAATTTTGCTCTTTTGTACTTAGTATCTATGGATCTAGGGCATATATGTTATGTGGATTTTTTTTTCAGGTCATTGACATGTAGTTGGTGTTGTAGGAAGGTCATTTTTTCACTCCTGAAAATCACATAATGTCCTATTAAAAATCACTTAAATGGAAATGATATTAAGACAAACGGTATGAGTAAGAGCTTTACAGAGCAAAGTAAAGTGTTCTTGAAGACTTAAACAATTTACCCATAATCAGCATATACATGTACCCTATCCAAACCAGTGAGAAAATTAAGATTTGTTTCACTGTTTTTGAGTTCTGTATTGAGTAGAGAAAAGAGCCTGTTTAAAATGGATGTTTGTACTTTTAGCAAGATACCACTCACAGTCAAAATGAAAATAATAGAGATACCAGCATCATAAAAATCATATACTTGTTTAAAATCCTGTTTTCTTGGAAAACACCTGCATAAAAAATCTTATTAATTTCACATGAACATGGGTGAAAGTTTTCAGAATAATGCATGATTGCAGGATTTTTCAGTCTTCATTTTCGTTGTTTTTTTTTTTTTTTTTATGGTCTAAGTGAAATGAGAAATTGCAAGCTACATTTAAAGGATTTTCAGTTTTTTAACTTTCATCCATGCACATTATGTAAATCAAGTCCATGCACACAACTGATAAATATACTAGTAATATAATTCTAATATTTATCAGTTGTATGCATGGACTTGATTTTCTAAACATTAACTTTTTTTGTGTACAGTTACATGCAAGGCAGACAGACAGTAGCTGTTTAAAATAGGCAGTGATGATAAGAATGACCTTTTGACAAAAGCACCAGTGCTCTTCATCATTGTCTTTCTTTTCTTTTCTAAAAATGAGCTATTGGAATAGGTGTGTGTGTGTGTGTCCATTACCTGATGATCCCCTGCACCCCATCTTGATGTGTGTGTGTGTGTGTGTGTGTGTGTGTGTGTGTGTGTGTGCGTGAAATAGTACACTATTTTAATGTCAAGTATGATAAACTATGTTGAAAAAGATTGTTTTCTTTGTCTCGTGTGAAGTGATGATAAAAAGTGAATCAGTTTCATGAAAACATCATTCCATGTAGGTATCAGTAGAAAATATGTTAAGCCTCTTCAGAAATGATTGATGCTTTTTTCTGTCATTATCACTGTAGTTAATATGCTATTTTATTTTCGTATTAATGCATATGTAGTTAGGTGTGAGGATTGTAGAACAAATTAGAGCAAGGGGAGGGGTGATAAGTCGTCATTGAGGCAAGTGTGTGCTCTATCCAGGTGCTAAATTTATTGTTGTGTCTAAATAGAGTGTTTTATTGCTAACTGAAGACATGGAAAGAAACTTTTGTTTCATAAGCAAATTGATGAGAAAAACTTGCGTGATGAGAGCACTTCTGTGTAAAAGTACCTCTGTGTAGTGACATCAATTATCAACTGCAGTAGGACCATTCGTTGGACCTTTTTTCTGGAAGTAATGCATTTTTTATGAATATATATAATAATTTTCATTTAGCATTTTCAAGTTCAGACTTTGAATACACATGGGCCTCAAGCCCTGTGCCAATTAAATATATCCACATTAAAAGATTAACAGTACATAATTGAAGTTGCATAAAAAGAGAGTGTAGATTTCCAGTAATGCTTAAAAACCACTTACACTGTGACTAAATTGAAGTCAGCATGCCAAGTCATGAGCCAAATTCAGTCAAAATAGTCTTAAAACTGCACCTTCTTCAACTCTCTGATCTTCAGTTGACCCATTTATCTAACCCTCCAGTTCATAAAGGTCTGCTAAATGACATGGTGCTCAGCACACATTGCATAATCATCAATCTTACCCCCATGCATGGAAGTAGCTGCATACACAATTGCATACATATATATATATATATTCAAACAAGACTGCTGTAAGATATTTATTTATAACAAAAAAAAAAAAAACAAACAAAAAACAGAAAATATCCTTTCGAATCTCATTTTTCAGGGAAATATGAAACCATGTGCTTTGGTATTTCTCTTGGTAATACTATTTAAAACTTTGGTGGAGTTTTATTGCTAACATATGCCTTAAAATGCATCTTTAAAGTTTTATGTTGATTTTGCTGATAAGGATTATGTAATATTGCCTAAAAATTGACAGTCGGCCTATTTTGTGCATTGCAACTATGAGAAGTATAAAAGGAAAACTGTGCTACATACTGTCTCAAACTTAAAAGAAGATTCTTAGTACTACAATACAGCTTAATGTGGAAAACCAGCCTGATTGGATTTTCTTTAAGTTATGCTGTTTTTTTTTCCACACATTGGAACATGCTAGTTATATATTCCGAATGTCCATATAACTTAAAATTTTCAACAAGTGTGAAAACTGAATTTTATTATTTTATGGTTAGAGTAATATGTTAAATCAGTTGAAGTACTGCAAAAATTTCTTATATGTTTAAGATCCTTTTTTAAATGCCTTCGCTTATTTCTGTTCTCAAATATTGATGTAGCTGTTTTCTAAGAATTGGGCATTGTATGAACTAACTCCCCCATGAGGAATTTTATGTTCATTAATTAAAAGACATTTACTATCATTATAATTGAAAGGGCTTAAGTTTCCTAAAACCGTAATTAAAAGGATCTTTCAGACATTCTATATGTAAGCTCAAGTTTCAGAAACTTGGCAAAAAAAAAAAAAAAAACGTGAGATATTATCTCAATTGTCAGGTGAGGAAAACATGGATGCTTGATGGGTTTCCAAAGGCATTATGTTTTTGTGCAGATGCAGTTTGTGGCAACCCTCCACTTCTGATCAGTCAAAGCCCTGAATCCATGGAAAACTGATGCTCACCTTGTCAATTTTGACATTCAGTTACATAACAGAACTGAAGCATGTTTATGATGAAAATTACAAGCAGTCTCAAATAATTAACAAAAGTGATGTCTGTAGGACTTTTTAAAAAATACAACAGGAACATCTAGTGCCAAGCAGTCTGGTATACCCCGTAGGCAAGATTCATTGCAGTTTGTTTCATCTTATTCAGTGCAGAAATTGAATTTACGTGAATATAATAAAATGTCTGGTTCCAGAATTAAATTTTGCTTTAGGAGTGTTCTATTGTGCAGCAGCAATATTATTTTTCTCAAACATTTATGGCTCCGGTTTCAAGGATTTGAATAGAACTAGTAACTGTAAAACTCAGTAGTTCCACAAGTACATTGGCAATATTGATGCAATATTACATATTAATGTTTTACAGTATAATCACCACCAATTTTTAATTATGTGCCACAGGTAACATGGACATACAGAAAAAGTCAATAACATTGGGCTTCAGGCCAATGAGATTTCAAAGTCACATACTGAAAATGCCAATATATATATGTGGAAAAAAAAATTAAAATTTCACAAGAAACTGCATGGCTTCAAGCCGGTTTACCCATGTGAGCTGTATTTCACTCCATAAAATCATTCTTCTAAGTTACAGAAAAATAAGTAACACAGTTTTCTCCATTTTATACCGCTTACAGTGGCAATGCACTAAATACATTTATTGTCACTTTTTATGTAATGCTACATAATGGGACCATTCAGAATGAGAAGATCCTAGTGTTAACTGGTCCATGGCCTAAATATGGTGGACCCACATAAAAGGAAGACTGCTTAATCCTGTAATGGTCTTTCCGCCTCTCACACGCCTCCCCAGGCGTCGTCCCTCAACTGAGCGAATTGAGCCGAGATTTAATTACTCAGGGTACTCCCCTACAGGGACAATGTGTGTGGAGGCGTGAAAGCGGCATAGAGACCATTACAGGATTAAGCGGTCTTCCTTTCATGTAGGTCCACCATATTTAGGCCGTGGACCTGTTAGCACTCGGATCTTCTCATTCTGAATGGCCCCAGTGGTGAACAGCACAAGCACCACCAATTTTTTTATTATATACTGTAAGTAACATGAACATTCAGAAAATGCAACTTGCATAGGGCTTCAAATTCACACATTGAAAATGTCATTATGTGAAATATTAAAACTTAACCAAAAAAAAACAAAAAAACATAAAAGAAATTGGTGAAGGCTACATGTCCGGACACAGTGTATGTCCATAAAAATGTCATGTGGTTAGATATCATATACTAGTAGACAATAATGGAACAGTGAAACAAGCACAAACATTTGTTATACTACGTGCAAGACTAGACTGAACATAAAATGAATTCATATGAACAATAAACTGTCTGGTGTTTGAAATGAAATTTTGCTTCACCTGATGTTTACTGTTAGTGTGACTGTATAAAACATTAAAAAAAATTATGACTCTGGTTCCAAGAATCTGCATGTACCTTTAAGCATCAATAATTCACACTCTGTAGTTTATTAGTACCTCCAGCGTGAGTGCTGGCGGTACTCATGGTTTTAGTCCCTACTTGTCTTATCTGTCAGCTTGGTGCTGGTGACAAGCTCTGACGCGAGGTTACCATTACCGCTTCTTCTCCTCCTACACTAGTCTACTAGGACGTGTCACCTTTCTGAATCTTAACTTGAATTTTGGGCTCTGTAGGTGCATTTGCCAAGGTGTGACACTTGTCGCAGTGCACTCTTGTCAAAAATTTTGAAAAATTAAATGCTAAATATCTCTCTTGCCAAAGGAATCATGGGAAAAGTTCTGCAAAAAAACCTTTGTTCCGAATTTCAGAAAATAAACAGACCTATGCCTTTATATTAAGGTGAATAGTTACACTTGGAATCTCTTTTCATCTTTGTGGGTTTAGGGTTCTTCAGTGCATTTTAAGGAGAGAAGTAGCCAGTACAGGGGCAGATCCAGAGTTGTTTTCTGATAGCCTTCCAAATTACTTTTGTTGATCTATCCTCCATTTTTGACCATCTTCTGACAGAAAAAATTAGATACCCATCAATGTAAACTAGAAAATCTGTCTTCCGGAAGACGCTGAAAACAGCCTCAATTCGCCCCTGCATTAGATATCGAAACTGAAAACTCTGACTCTAATTCTGGAACTCTAAAAGCTAGAGACCTCTTTTTTGTTACATTTTGTAGAGCTTGTGAAGCACAACACGGGAGGTGGTATCTTTTTTTCCATAGGGTTTAAGAGTTACACTTTTTCAAAAAGTACCACATTACAATGCTATATGATGAAAATTAAATGTGAAATACTCCAAAACTGACAGAGATACACCCATAGTTGTCATAGTTACATTGAACTTAATTAGGAAGTCATATATTGAAAATCTTACTGTGACCTTGAATTGACCTTTGATGTTCTTTTCACCATGAACTGTTATTTGCTAATTTTCTGACCCTTACATCTCCAAAACTAGCAGGAATACTCTTATAGTTACTATTGAACTTGAATAGAAAGTCATGTATTGGCAATCTTACTCTGACCGAATTTCATGTTATGCTTTAAACTCCCACAAACCTAAAGCCCTGTACTTCTTATATTTTCTTATTGTCCACTTTTACAGAAGTAAATTATTGCAAATTGGTGGTGAAAATGCTTTAGAAATTATGTAATATTATGTTATGTGCGGTCTTTTTTTTTTTTTTTTTTTTTGCTTATTGTCTGTACTTTTGACTGCTCTTTTGTCTTTTCTTTTACAAAAGTGCATTGATTAAAAATACTCATATAAAGAACCAAGAGACCTGCTAAAAAGAATTTAGAAAATTAGTGTAGGGGATACATGAGGTACATTAACCATAACTTGGATACCATGTAAATAGATTAGGGTAGTGGTAGAAACTTCTTGCACCTAAACATGGAAATCTGAAAGTACAATAAATGTTGAGTTCTTGTAGAGAGAGGGAGACTGATATGAATATGAAAATTTTCGGAATTCCAAATGTGTTCCAAACAAAAATTATTTGAAAACAAAGCTTGTCCAAACAAATCACATATTTGAAAGGCAGATAAAATGCTACAGTCACACTGTCTGCATCGGTTCAGTTTGTTCATTCACATGGTTAGGGTAAATTATGGCATGATATGCATTTTGCCAAAGGCCATTAGAGAGAACACGGTTTGTCTGAGAGATGACGTCCTAAACAACCATTTTGTCATTAAGCATGCAGAGGAACATGGTCTTTATTCATGCTCCGTCTGCTCTGTGTAATCTAGGTATACGCTGTGTGGCATTGTAATCTTGACAATAGGATATTTGCATGTCATTACATCATGCCACCATTTATATAACTGTTTGACACCGACATGCAAGCACAGACATTCAAATTTTATGTGTGTGTGCATTTAAATGTAATGAGTCTGCCAGATAACGTGAATTATGGAACTAAATCAGTTCAGTGTTTTCATTAAGCTGTATAGTGGAAATGGAATTGGGAAGTTGTGGAAGAACTAAAATAAGAATGTGGCATCCATAGTCTGTACTATAAAAGGAGTTTGTTATTTTTTGAATATTGCTAAACTTACAGACATAGCTGTTTGATGATTAAGAGCTTGTCCAGGTAAAATTTTAAATGCAGATTTTTTTACCAGCTCAAATTTGACAAAAAAAAATCTGTCTGGAATTCAGTTTTTATCTCTGATATACCATTCACAGTGATGTGTTTTTCCAAAGACTAGTCTAAGACTATATTTAGTTTGATGTACCAATTCTGCTCATGGGAATATCCTATAGGGAAGAAAAGATGATCAAGATGAGTTACTCAGTTTGTGCACAGTTGACAGTCAAGTTCATTTCTGTATCCTTAGTCTGTCCTATTGACTGAAAAAGACTTTTCCTCCATCATATATAACTTGTGGCAGAACAGCAGTAGCACTTGACAAAAGCACATTTTGGAATATCTCACTATGTCATACTTGTCCTTTTGTTATTTTACACGTTGTGTAGCATTTACCAAATATGTTTGTATATGCACAGTTCCAGATATGCCATAGCATTTTTTCCCAGTGGGGTAATATTTTTATTTTGACTACTTGAAAAATGCAGAAGACCCACATCTCTTCAGTCTGTGGGTACAGATGTTACACTTCTAAGAAAATCAGCCTATTTCTAATGAATATTGCATGATCCATAATTTTTGTCTTTTCTTCTTATAGGTTAAAGGAAAATCAGCTTCACCACAGGCTTCATTTGAGCAACAGTCAGTGCCCAGAATTAACAGCGGTTATTCCTGTGCTCCCAAAAAAGCATTTCTGGGACGCCAGCAGAGTATAGGATCAGTGCAATCCAAAAGCCCAGGAATTGGAACGGCATCTCCATCAACAGATCCTAAAGTGATTGTACAGGAGTATTCTGACACTGATGATCCAGGGTTCACATCAATTTCTGAATCTGACTCCAACTCAAAAATGGCCAGTAGTGCTCAGCTGGAGACAGCAGCATCAGTTAAAGAATTGAAAGTGTTACCGGACAGCAAGAACAAATTATTAACAGAGCAAATAACTTCCAAGGAAGCTGTTGCTGCTAGCTCAGCCTATCAGTCAGAAAATAATGGGAAAACACTCCCACAAGCTAATAAAGATCCAAAGTCTGATGATATCAGCAATTATGCTGAGAAAAAATTCAAAATTCGCCATTTGATTGACTGCTTTCTGGATTCACAGAATATTAGACAGCAGCTGCAGCAGGCGAAAGAAGAGTATTTAGAACAAGGTGGTGCATCAGCTTACTATTTGCTGAAAGATGATGATAATTCTGAGTCCTATTCTGATGATATTTGTGAGGATGATGAAAATTCACAAGCAGGTAGTGTGTCACTCCCACTGAAAGACACACCTGATGCCTCACAAAACGTGAATGTCTCTTCTGATCAGATGTGTCACAGTGATAGCATCACCAATTCTTCCCCAAGAACACTGGGTGTTGCAGATGGAGGATCTGCCAATTATTCTCCAAAGGGTCAGGATGCAGTAGATGTTGGACCTGCTCTTCCAGCTGTGCCCTTGACAGAAACCGTCTCAACAATTCAGTCCAAAATTGATGAATTAGTAGAAAATGCAATACATTCATCTTACAGAGAAGAGCAAGATGATTATGAACATAATCAAACTTCAGTAGCTGGTAATGGTTCAGTAATTAGTAAAATGGACTTCTTGACAAAACCAGACAATGCCAGTTCAAGTGAATCTGTGAACAAACAACCACAGAAAGAAATAAACTTAGAAAATAACAGAACTTTGATTAGTTCTCCCAATGCACAAGGAAACATTATAGCTCGTGCTATTGCAACTGAAAAATCAAACAGCAGCACCACAGAATATCACGATACTCCAATGCCTAACAGCAATCCTTTGCTTGCTTTGGCTGATATTGCAAACAGGCAAAGCAGGGCTGGGACTTCCCCTAGTGCTTCTCAGCCTCTTGAGGCAGAAAACCAGTCAAAAAGAGACACTAACACCAACCACTTAAACTACAAACCTCCAGACTACATGGCTCATCAGCCAGCACCAATGCCCCCACCTGCAATGCACCCAGAGCAGCGGGTCCGGGCACCAATATATCGCCCACCAGTGGAAATGAGGGTACAAGACTACCGTGGTAACGTGAGTCCAAAGCAAAGTCACCAGCAACTACACCAAAGTGAGCAGCCTCAGTCACAACAGCCGCCTCCCCCTGTCCAGCCCCCAGGGATGATTATGGGTGGTCCCAGGATCCCCTACCACCCACACGCAGGGTACCCACAAATGCCCATGGGCATGATGATGCCAGTTGGGCAGAGACAAAGGATCATGCAGCCAAGAGTGGCCATGCCTCCACCAGCTTCCAGGATGTCTGCTGGTAAGGCAGAATTTTGTAAAATGAAAATAATTATTATCAGATGAATCAAATTTTTTAAATAGGAAAGTGCAATTCATTAAAATTTCATTCAAAATTTTCATTCAGTTGGTAGTTTTTTATTTACTTTTCTTGTTTGATGTTAAGAAAGTATAATGTGATATGTTAAAGTAACCTTTGAAGCACATAGCAAAGCATAGAATTTTCTTAATACATTAATAGCACTACTACCAGTATCTCACACAAGGTAAACAAAGCCCACTTGCTAAATGATAAATCAAATGAATCACTCAATCAGCAAAATAAGTTTACAAATTGCACCTTCTTCAAAGTTTGAATAGTTTACTTAACCTATTGGTTATATCTAATGACATTTTGAATATTTTAATGAATTATGGTTATTGTTTTGATATAGGTATACATCCATCTTCACAGTCAGGGAGGATGCCTAGTGGGGGTCAAACCATGAGGATGCCAACTGGTGCGGGCCAACCCATGAAGACACCCCCAGGTGGGGGGCAAGCTATGAGGATGCCCCTTGGTGGACAGCCAATCAGACTACCACCTGGTGGTGGTGGGTCATATCCAATGAGGATGCCACCTCCTCCACCACTGATTCCACTAGGCAACTCGCAAACAGCAAAAGCAAGCCTGGGAAGTGGCTCTATAAGTGATAGATTTCCATCTCCAGAGCCAGTGCGAAAGAGTCCAGATTCTCTCTCTCCGCATTCCTTTGGATCTTTTAGAATGTCCCCAAGAATACAAAATCCACTTTTGACCAGAATGCAAGCAACTGGACAGAATTATCAAACAATGAAATTGAGGACTGTCCCAATGGAAACCTCACAAAATGAACCACTTAATCTTAAGTCTTCCCTTGGTGAGGGTCCATTGGATCTTTCTGTCAAGAAGCGCAAGGCACCAGATGAAAATGACAGCCCTTCCAAAGGATCTGAAGTGCCTCTGGATTTATCCAGTAAGAAAGCAAGAACAGAGGGTGACCCTACCTCACCAGTGATTATTCCCAAATCTGAGCCTAGGTCCCCATCCCCCTGCCACACCCCCTCTTCACTAAGGGGGTTGCCTTCAATGAGAACCCCACCTGGACACTCCCCTAGCCCAGGGGCCAGTTGGCCCATGGTGCCTGGAATGTCCCAAGGACCTCGTATGGTGAGTCCAGGGATAATGTCAAGACCAAGCTCACACAATACACCATCTCCTGGGCATGCACCCATAGGAATCAGGGCACCATCTCCTATGGGGACTCCAGGTGTGAATCCCAGGTTACCACACCAGCCACCCCCAGCTCTCCTTTATCAACCATCAGGTGCAACAGCAAGGCAAAATCCTACACCCCCTGCCCAAGGAAGGGAGAACCCCTCACCTCAATCAGCTGCTTCAGGAAATAATGGCAATAATCCACGGATGTGTGTCCCAGCACAGATGTTAATTGGTAACCATTCACCAAAGGACATTTTGTACATGCTGTGCCGCATGTGTGGAAGCACCTATGGAAGTGTGTATGGCTTTAGGCGCCATTTTCGCAATCAGCATGGATTTGAGCCATCCCCAGACCATGTGTTCATACAGAGTATCTCACAGACTAAAGAATATATACATCGCCAGGCTGCAGGAGAGGGTTTATTGTCTCTATCCCAGGCTGGGCCCCCACAAAATCAGATGCCTGTTCCCATGACACCACCACCACTGCCACCTGGGGAACAGATTCCGCAGCCTGTGCAAGCAGCACAAATTCCACCACGACTGCCAGAATTACAGAGATTGCATAGTTCTACTTCTCCGGGCAGTGGGTCTGATAGTGACAAAAGTGCCCCCCCTGGTGATAATGTTGTATTGAATTGTCAGGATTGTGGGGAAGATTTCCCTCCTCAAGAGTGGCAGCATTTTAAACGGCACATTCGTTCACACTTTGGTGAGCGCAAGCACAAATGTACATACTGTGACTACTCTACAGATTACATGCACCACTTGCAGGATCATATCAACAAACATACCAACAATCGTCCCCATGTATGTAAAATATGTAATATAGCTTATGCAAATGCAGGAACTCTCAGTCGGCATGTACGTACGGCACATGCAGGAGAAGATGGAAGCAGGCTCCACTACTGCCATCTGTGTGGGAAAAGCTACAGATTCTTTAAGGACTATAAAGAACACATAGAGCATCATAAACAAGGCCTTATTCCTCTTCAACTGAAGTCATCTCTTCCTGGATCTTCCTCAGTTTCTACCCCATCTCCTGAATCAGGGGAAGGGGTTCCCCAACATCCACATCATGGGGGTCCCTCGAGTCCCGATTCAGACATGGCCTCCCTAAATGCATCTGATATCCAGGAAAAGTTCAAGAATGATGTGTTGGTTATTCTCTCAGAAGATGAAAAGTCCGATTCTCAGTCTGTTGATAATCATGTGAACAATAATGAAACTGATGATGTCTCACAATCTTCAGAAAGTTCACCAAAACATGTGAAGACTGGTGATGTAATTCGAAAAATGGTAGAGATGGAGGTGACCAAGTCAGTAGACAATGGCCAGGTTGAGAACTCTGGTTTGCCCTCTGTCAAACATGAAACAAACACTGACTCTGTGTCAACTGCTTCTCGGGTCAACTTTGCTAGGGATGCTGACACCAAAATTTCAAGGAAACTGAGAGCCACAGAATTAATTGGCCAGATCATAACGAGAGAATTGAGAAAAGCTGAGCCTGAATCAAGTTCTACTTCTGTGCTGACTTCCTGTGATGGTCAGTTGAAAAATGAAAAAGTTATTCAGTCTGTTGGAGAAAGTACTTTCTGCAGGCAAGAGGCTACAGAAGCCAGTGACCTTGTTCACAACAGCAGCTGCCTAGAAAGCACCTCCCTCAAAGTAGACCCTTCCCCTGAGGACAAAGTCCAGATTCAAGAGGCTGATAACTCTAATGGCAATGAGGTTAATACGGGTGGGTTTTCAAAATAGATTGTGGTGTCCCGTTGAACTTATGATGATTTTTAAGATGATACCATCCTTTGATATGTTGGATGTCAAATAAGCAGGAAATATGTGGGTAATTCTTGTACTACTTAACTAAGTGTACAAATTTATTTAAAGCAGAAAAGAGCAGAGAAAATAATGGATTTTTATTAGATTGTCCTAACTTCCTATTTTTTTTTCTTTTTTTTTTACAGATAAGAATCGGAAACATTCAAACCTAGACAAGTTGTCCAAAATGATAGACACTCTGGAGGATAAGGATAATAGTCCAGAGAGAAAGAACAATGATTCTAGTGTTGAATCCCCAGTTAAAAAAGACACAAGATCACAAAGCAAAGACAAGAATAAATCTGATCATTTTTTAGCGAGCAGCCCAGAGTTCAACCAGAAGACCAGTGCATCCTGTTCTGATATAGAGGGGATTGGAAGTGCTGTGGATGTTAACCAACATGTGGTGGGCTCTGGGCGGGCCGAGAATTTAGGTTCTGTACTGAGCAGGCCTGGTGATCAAGAACTAGGAGATTATAGAGACAGTAGAGAGTTTGAAGTAAGAAAAAATGAATGTATTGCTGGGCTTGATAAAACGCAAGGATTAGGAAGTTGTAGTGTAAATGTAGATTTAGAGGCAAGAGACTCAGTGTTTGTGAACACACTGTCTGAAAAAGCAGCTCAATGTGTATCACAAAAAACTACAGGTTTTCTTACAAAAGATGTTAATCCTAAAACACCAGACTATGTTGAAATTAAAACCAGTGAATCTCGTGCAAATGCTTATCATGAGCATGCAAGTCTAAATAAACCAGTGTGTCAAGAAGGCTCCAGAGATACTGAAATCCTTTCAGAAACCAAAAACCTCAGTAAGAGCATGCCGAAAGGCCATTCAATAGAGAAACAATGTGATCTGCCTAACAAAGATTTCATTGAGAGTACACTGTCATCAGAGATAGATCCTATAGAACCTCCAAGTTCTCAACAAAATGTTCAGAATGAATACCATACTGGCAGTAACAAGAGAATTGAAAGTGATAGTAAACTACAGGAAGAGTCATATTTTGAGATGTCTTGGGATATCTTTCCTGCAAGTGATGATAAACAACAACAAAAAGCTCAGGAAAGTGATAATTTAGAAAACTATATCTCTTCAGATTCATGTAATACCTCTTCACTTCTTGCAGATAATTCTGTGGAATCAAATTTGTTGACACCTGAAGTCCATGATGAGCATCAACAAGTTCCCAGTTTAGCTGTATCTGAAGTTCCTCAAAATAACCCACCCACACTACAGGAGAATGTAGCTTCTCAAAAGTTCAATGAACAGCACCAAGACGTAAATGACAGTGATATTAGCACACACATCAAAAAAACAGAGCAAAAGTCAAATACAGTAAACAGAAGTTGTTTAATGAAAAACATCAATGACAATCAACTGAATAGCTTTCCTACAGAAAATGATTCGCCTTTTATGTTTAACATTGAAAGTTCCAGCCAAGACTCACATTTGCAAGGTCCAAGCTCAGGGGAAGTTGAAAAATGCAAAGCGATGGACACCAAAAGTTCAAGGAGACTCAGAGCTGCAGAATTAATTGGCCAGATTATAACGAGAGAATTTAGAAAAACAGAGACTGAATCAAATTCGACTGATGTGCCAACTCCCTGTGATGGTCAGTTGAAAAGAGAGAAAGTCACTGTGGTAGATGGCTCTGAAAAAAGCGTAAACCTGTCTGACATTCAGAGGCAAGGTAGTCCAGTTACAAATGACAGTGACTTCCTTATCATCAAAGATGTTTCAGAGAAAATGCCTGCAAAACCAAATGGTAAAGAGTATTGTACTGAAAGTGATTATGCATTAGAAACCGCAAAAGGCATTACAAACTTGACTGGCTTAAAAGGATATTCAGAAAGTGTTAAAACTGAAAAAATTCATGACAAAGGTGAAAATATGCCTGACAGTGATATTATCTTAACTGAAAGCCATATCAGCTGTGAAAATTATGAAAATGCAAACATTTCAGAGACCCCTGCCAATAGACCAGTAAGTCAAAACCCCAACAAAGAGAAGTTCACAAAGAATACCGAAGCTGAGGCAGCCCTAACTGAAGTTGAGCAGGTACCCACAGAAGTAGAGTCAAATGAAGATGTTGCCATGGACACTGAAGATAGAGTCCATGCAGGAGAAAGTCATGTTGTATATACTGACAGAAAATGTGTTCAAGAGATTGGAGAATGTGCATCCGACTCTTGTGGATTAGCTGATGCCATATCAAAGTTTTCTAGTTTGAACAGGCCAGCACTACAGGCATATTCGAAATTACCCAGTGACAAGGAAACACAGATACATGAAGAAGAAAAAGTAGATGAAAAAATGGCGGATAAAACTGTCAAGACAGAAACAGGTGGTCCAAGATCTGCAAGTGATGTCAAGACCTTTTTGGAAAGTGAAACTGAATGTGATAATAGCACCAACAATGATAACCTTACATTAGACAGCAAAGGCTCTACAGCAGATGTGTATTGTGATGAAAATGAAGTAGATCCTGACATTTATATCCCCAAAACAGCAAATAATGATGATGTGGAAATTTGTGATAAGGCGTCAATTTCAGCCATTGGTTCTGCAATGAATTCCCCACCCACTGCCGGCCAAACATCAACAGCAGCTAATATCACAGCCCATGAGGTAAAAGAGGCAATGCTTGACAAAAACCCAAAAAGCCCTGTAAATGAGCCATCAATTATGGATGTTAATGATGCTGGTTTGAAAGAAGTACCATCCATAGCAGTTTCTTCTCTGGCAGTGGCAAATGCCACACAAGTACAGGAAGCAGAAACAACACCAGACAGTTGTATTGTAAAGGGGTCAGAGGAAGGGGCCTTTGATGGCATGCCAGTTGCAAATGTCACAGAACATGTCAAGAATACAGTTATTGACAGTAAACTGCAAATTGAAAAAGATTCGGAGCACAACTACTCACTTGAGCCGACAGCATGTTCTACTGAAATTCATGGACATTTGGGTGTCAGCAGAAATGTAGAACAAAAGGTTACAAATGAACAGAAAAGTATTTTATCTGAAGAGTCTCATGAATTGCAAGAATACCATGATACAAAGTACATGATGTCAAATGGCTGTACTAATCCCTCAGAAATGGTATATGAAGACGAAAAATGTGACCAACAGCTTATATTTTCAGAATCACAGTGTACAGTTGCCAAAAAGTCCAAACCATTGGAAAATGCATCTTTACAAGGAGGAAAAAGATATCCAGAAGAAAATTCAGAAACTGCAAACCACAGCAATGCTACAAAAGATTTTGAATGCAAGGATCTAGGTCAAGAATCAGTCTATCATGCTTTCGAATCAGAAACACAGGATATGTCAACAACCATTGGACAACCAAGGAGCTCTGTTGGAATTCAAAGTGGCTATGAAAATGCTAGTGCTATCTATTGTACTGAAATTAATGAACCAGAATCAAAAACAAAGCTCACTGAAGATGCAGATAGACCTCTGGACACAGAAACATCAGCAAAGCTATCAACCACAGTAGATGTTAGTGATATAGGCTCTGTTCATAGTAACTTGACACCTACTAGTTATGATGAAACACATAAATTTGAAGAGTCTACAGAATTGAATATGGGGGAAGAATCTGAGCATTTTATTGCTTTGGGATCATCTGCAGCCTCTTCAGGTGGTGTAGAACCATCAGACTTTGTTAACAATTATTTGAAGTTTCAAGAATGCTTAGATACAGGAATCCAGAATTGTGAAACACATGCAGTTAAGCAGTTATCCCAAGATACAGCTGTACAAAGTGTGGAATCAAGTTCTCATAGTGATGTTCTACAGACTTGTTCAGATTTAACAAGCACTTGTCAAGGTGATAACATCACTGAACAGAAACGGGAATTTCAACCATGTCTTAGTCTGAAAGCCAAAGTGGATTTCAAGAAAGAAACGTTTTCTTAGAAGATGATAATGTTGCCAATTCCAAAACAAGCCAACAGCATGTGAGAAGTAACAGAGAGATCCTTGGCTCTGAAAATGACATAAAGAATGAAGTGAAGCTAAACGTTAAATCTCCAAACTCTGCTCAGTACACGGAAAGCATTCCTAAACTCATTTGTGATATTGCTTCATTTAATGATGATTCTTGTCCACCAACAAGTTTGAGTATGAATGCTACTGAGGAGAAGGCAAACTATGATTCCAAGAGTAAAGCTGATTCAAAGCTAAGTTGCACAACACCACAGCTGACGTGTCAGTATTCTGAAAGTCAGAAGTTAGTTGTGAAGCAGGATCACTACGGTGTTGATATGGTCAACAATGAGTTTGGAGAGGATCCAGATGTGGAGCGTGAGCTTAAAGAAGCTATGCTGTTATGTTCAGGGGGGTTAAGTGAGAAAGATGGCCCAAAAGAATTTGTCACAGAATACAACTTTCCTGAGTCAGTAGACAATGAATTAACTTCCAGCATAGGGCCCAAGAGAAAAACAGCCGACAGTGAACAACAACAACATCACAGGTTAAGTACCACGACGAAAAGCACTAGCATTCAAAGAGAAACTGTTTCTTCAACAACCGAACTGTTGCAGGAAGGGAAGACATGGCAGCTTCGCCGACGTGCTGCTGTTCCGCCGACGTACGTTTTTGGAGACGATCCAGAACAGGAATTTCAACACAAACCAAACGAAAAAAATCGAAGGTCGATGCCTTCTTCAAGAATTGGCAACCCTCAGCGTCACACGGGACTGATCAAACGATCAGCGGATTATGACACTTGCAACGATATGTCAAATGTTCTCAGAGACAGGACATCATCAAAGTATGCCAGATATAGCAATGACAGTAAAGTGAAACATCCCACCTCTCCTCTTGAAAACTATGGGGTAGAGAAAAGAGTGATATCCGCTAGGGATGCGGCGAACGATAAACAACAGCAGGAAGGATGGCAGCGCGTTGTCGAAGGACCAGATCCAGTCCAGAGAGTCACACAAGAAATTGAACTTATTACGAAATGTTTAGTGCCAGATGGTGCCAGGCAATCAGTAGGTCAGACAGAAATGCATAAACAGAAGAAACATGATGTGACAAATAATTTTCAGCATCAAAACCTAGTGCAAAAACCGGAGAAAAAACGAGGTGAAACAGTGGATACAAGCCAACCACCCGATCGTAAAAGGAAAAATCTCCTGAAAATGAAATCCATGGATTCTGATACCGTCCCAGATTCTACAAAAGATTTACTTAGTTCATATGGACCAGTAAACTCAAAATTGCCAGCACGCCCAACGACAATAGGTGGCGACGCAAGCTTGCGTCGTGATTCTGCGAAAGTCAAGATACTCTCAGTCCGTGACATCGATCCAGAAACACTGGCAGAGCTCTACAGAATGACTAGCTGTCAGGTTTTGTTGAAGGATATTCGACTGCAAGATGGTTTTAAGGAATTGTAAAGTAGTACGGAAAAGTACTTTGTCGTACTTTGAAATGGCTTTGGTTACTTACTGCATTTGCCCTGAATGAGTGATTTTTGACACATGAAGATGATTCGAAAGTATTCGTTTGTCAAAAGAATCTAGCTAAATGTCAAAGAATTGGCCTCGAGATTGCCATCACATGGGTACTGGTATATTTAAAATAACGGCATATTTTGCGATTTTTCAGGTATTCACGGTTGGTAATTGTACCAGTTATTAGGATTTTAATCTATGTGTAATATCACACAATTCAGAGATGTCCCAGTAAGGATCTAAATGAGGTTTGCCTACAATTTACTTGGCTGTGTTATCAAGCAAAACAGAAACGCGCCTTGATATGTAGTTTAAGAGTTTGTATGAACTAAAAAACCTATACTAAGGTGGGAATTTTACAAACATTTTAGCCTTTGTACATAGCGAATGTTCTGCCCGCCAAAAACATATTTATGCCAGAACCAGTAGTGATCTGTGGTCAATATTAAAGTAGAGGACAGTGCTGTGCATTATTTAAGTGCAGTTTGTGATCACTACGGTAACATGAATTACGGCTTCGATGTTTGATTGAGTTAGAAAAAATATTTCCATGATTTATAGTGCGTTGTATAGCGTGTCAGTTTTGCACATTGGAAACTTTTAAGCAATATGCCGTTGTGATTTTTGATATGGTATTGCAGGGTGAACCGCTGTGTAGGATTTGAGTCATTGCTGAGGGTGACGCGTTTTTTGTAAACGGCTAACTTGTTTGTACAAATCAAATGGTGTAGACTTTTTGGCGGGGGTGGAAAAAACGAATTTACATGCCATTTGCACTTAGTCATCGCCGTAGTCTTAAAAACCCTTGATGATATGCTCGTGTATACTTTCATTAGTTGAATAGTCGGTGTGGTGTGTATATAATATTAATACGTAAATATTGGGCCTAATACAGTCACTGAGAGAGTGTATCATAGTTGTTGGTTATGAGGGGATATTGACGTTTATGCTCTGTGAAAATCACGCACATTCCATGGAAAAATACATTCCGAACTATGCAGAAAAATATTGAGCATGCTTATGTTTATATAAAATAATAGCCTGTGACAAGGCACACGTATATATTTCTTTTTGTATGAAAATTATTAACGCTTCCGTGTACTGGATAACACGAGTGTAAATATGTGTTTTGATAGAATTCGTAATTCTTATTAGGTGTTATTTGCGTAGGTATTACGTAGATGATCATTTTATTACAGCACGTTCACTGAATCACGTGAACTAAACCGGTGATATATGACGTCCGTGTGACGAAGCTTGATTATTATTTGTTCACCTCTGACAGGATATATATATATATTGTGAGTTTTGTTATCTTGCGAAGACCGAAACATATAGGGGTAGCCTCTTTAACAATGGCAGAATGAGTACAACATGTATTTTCTTGTACTTTATTTATGATAAAATGCCAGAATAATAAAAAAAATCCTTGTTAATTGCTGTAATTGAGTTTTGAGCTTGATAGATAATTGGACGATGAATACTAACAAAACATCGGACATGGTACATTTATAGACAAAAAAAAAAATTCGTGAGAAAAAACGGGCTATTCGGGCGGTGACAGTCATTGTATTTCTCAAAGCAATTTTCACTTGAAGAAAGGGTAAATTTGGGCAAAAATGTTCAAGAAGTCTCAAAATTAGAAAAAGTTATTCCTAATAACCTAAACCAATATAAGGTACAATTTTAACTTGCCACAAATCCTAACGTAGCCGATCATATTGTGTTTAAGAAAAATATTTGACAAAGTGATCATAAAACAACAAAACGTCGATTTTTGTGAAAATTAATCAGCTATGCTCATTTTCGAAGTTTGGCACTAATGGGACAATCGTCGTCGTAATTCGCCAAAAAAAGGAAGAAAAAAAATAACTGCTGCAAGATATGTTCATCATGGTGATGTGCAAAAGGAACCAACCACGTACGTTTTAACAATTCAAAACCACTCTGGGAAATTTTTAGTAAAATGCAAAAATATGTATTGGCACTTGCAGGGCGGATAAATGCAAATGGGAATATTTTTCGATATAATCCGATCATGATGATTTTCAAAAGGAATCTGCACTGTCACCAAACAAAGCCACTCGAAGTAAATTTAAAGTAAAACGGACAGCGACGACACGGACAGACACATACGATCGTAATATATATAGGCTACAGGCACGTGTCTCTATTTACAAATGTTGGTAGGACATTTGAAAACTTGTTTATCTTATTTTCACGCAAATTCTTTGATCATGATGTACTTTAGATTTATATCACGAAGCTTAGGTGGTTTTTCTATTTTTGCAATAAAATTCAAAGAACAAAATCGACAGGTTGAAGACCCAGGTACGACAAAATGGAAATATCGCGGGAGCTTCAATCTAAGATTAACAGACCTTAATCATGAGGCGGCTGGCTAGTCTTCAGACTGGATGAGTAGGCTATCCAGCAGCATCCAGGCTGTCGATCAGTGTAGAGAATTTCAACAAATTTAATGCATCGCTGTAAAATAGGGGCTAAGCTTTTAGAGCGACTACCGTTTTTTACTGTATTGCTATCATTTCAACGCTGTTTATTCATTTTATCTATCTATCTATCTATCTATTTTTTTTTAGTTTAATGTTTACGTTAGTTATTGACGTCGTTTTTCTCTGCATTATAATATAATAAAAATTAAATCTTTGATAACTGCTACAAAACTTTCAAGAGCGTCCACGGGGATTCCCTTTAGGCTTACCTCAAATGCCATTTATTACTATTATTTATTTGTTTATTTATCTATTTAAACCTTTTAATGATTAAATTGTTAGCCTATAACGATCTTAACTAGAAAAGCACTCAGAGAGCGCAGACCTCCGCCAAGGCAGTCTCCATCCAATGCCGTTTCACCCCTAAATTTTCGATATTTTTTATTATTGATTGATTATTGATCCGGATGACCACCAAAAACTAATCATAGGCCTATGTTCCTTGGCCCACTTCTGACAGTTCCTGAAAATTTCATCAAAATTGGTCCATAACTTTTTGAGTTATGTTGATGACAGAAAGACAGACAGACAAACAGGGGTGAAAACATAACCTCCTTGGAGGAGGTAAAAATATACCATATATAAATGGACTCTTTTCCCCTTTGACACCCAGTCGAGTCGGCGATCTACGTAGGCCTACATTTCAGTCGGCGGCTAAGCAATAAGCGTATTACTATAAAGAAAGGACTGTGACCTATATAATATAGGCTGAGGCTGCATCAACACACAGAGGCTGCGATAATATACAGGTAGGCCTACATGTACAGGTAGATAGATAGGGCCTACACGTGTTTTCACAGAGTATGTTGCGCCACATTAGAATTTAATGGTGTTCGGAATAGTTTTCAGCATCCTTTCCCTGTCTGCATTTTCTCCCGATGATATTTTTGACCCTTAATTTATGGTCAGTTCATCGAATATATTGCGTGATGAAGATAGAAGGTACATTCTGCACCGACAGGGCAATAGTAAAATTGCGACGACAAATCACTTGACCTTCACTTCCTGTCGATAGCTGCATACTAGTAGGCACCAGCGAGAGAGTGACGGTGGGGTGAGCCTTAATATAATGTCTCAAGTCTTCAACATTCTGTATGAGTTAATTCCAGCGAAAATAGTGCAAGTCAGCACTGTTATGTGTGAGCACACCTGTTTACTTTTCTGCACAGCCGACAATGATGCATAGAAAGCATGTGCACCTGATAGGATGAGCGGTAAAATCATTTCAAAAAGTCATATGTACCATAAAGTATTAGGTTGAACAATGCTCAGTCTTAATGAAAATAGCTAACCTCTTTGTTTTTATATCTCAGTCTAGTGATATAGGTTATTTTCAGTATTAAAATCTTTAAATATGTACTGATGAATGATTGTACCCTTGTTTTATTTTTGTTTTCATTTATTATTATATTGTTTCTGTGAATTAAACAAGTCCACAACAAATTCTCCTTTTTGGGGAAATAAGATTATCTTATCTTACATATGTATCTGCTAACTTATGGAAGAAAACAGGTGCACACCTTAAAAGAATTGTCATCTTCAGCATCCACCACCAAATATGAGGACCATATACCAAATCATTTACCATTTATTGGTTGGACTAGCTAGGTTTTGTTATGGACCCTGTGAAAAGCAATACACCCTGTTTCTAGTAATGGAAGTACTGAGTATTCTCTGTACTTTGTATATGTATCTATGCTATGTATTTCAATCTTTAGAAGAGAAGGGAGTAGTCATAATAATTTCTTGTAGTATATAACCATTATATATATGAAACCATATTTTTGTAGCAGACTTCATGTGAAGAGTGAAGAGAAGGCACTGCCTACTGGGACTTTGGCAAGATGCAGGTGCCCCACAGTCACATACCCTATGGGAAGGAGGGCTCTGGCTTCTACACTGACAACACCATTGGATGTTTTAATGTTATAGATGCAGCCACTCCTATGGTTCTCAATGCTCTGGGTAAGGCCACATTCAGAACAGTGGACTAACTAGTCCACGGGTCAAATATGGCAACCTACTAAAAAGCTTACCATCTAATCCGCTAATAGACACTGAATATATACCCCGTGGGGAAGTATTCAAGTGGGTCAGCCATATTTGACCTGCGGAATAGTAAGTCTGCTGTTCTGAATGCGGCCTAAGGTATATTATTATGATACAGTTACTCCTATTGCCTTCAATGCTCAGGGTAAGATATACATTTTATAACATATATAGAGCTATAGTATTCCTAATGTTTATTAAACTGGGCAAGGTTTACAATAATTCTACAGGCGCAGCATCATTACTCTAATGTATAATCAAAAATCATATATGCTAGCTGTCACTGCACTGGTCCACCTCTGTCCTGGAAGGTGCACTATGTATATATGTACTTGACTCTGAAGGTTATGGATAATTTTGATTTGTAGATTTTCATTCCTGAATATTGCTGTTATAGGAAATGTACCTGTGAAAGATTTAGAATCTCCATTCATTATTGCCGACTTTGGGACTGCAGATGGGGGAACATCTATGTTTCTTCTCAAGAAGATGATCGGTAAGCAGAGGCTAGCAGTGAGTGTCACAAAACAACCAAAATATTGTGGACACCATTACTTACTTACGCCATGTTGGACTATGATGTGGGCAGTGCTCCAAAAACCCCTGGGGATTGGGGGCTCTTCCCCCCAAAACATTTCGAAACTACTATGCTATGCTATGCCATGCCATGCCATGCCACACACACTACGCTACGGGATGTCTTAACAATAAAATTTCCAATAAGTGAATCTATTTTTACCTATTAAATCTCTAATTTATAAATTAACATAGTGTCTATTCATAAGTTATTTATGATGATCTTGATTCTCTTGCATACCAAGCTTAATTAGCAATGAAACTGTAAATGTCCTTAAGCAAGTCATATGAAGAAGTGAGGGCATGGGAATTGTTAAAAGAACACGTGATTAATATACATTCATGCCCCTTGGTCAATTCAGTGTACTGCTGAGAGATGATACATTTTATTAATACATGTATATACTGTGTTTGCTTTCAGAGCTCCTGAGAAAAAAACACGGCAAAGACTTACCTGTGCAAGTGGTGTATGAGGACCAGCCAGTGAATGACTTCAAGTCACTGTTTTTTAGGGTGCACGGTGAGTGAGAGAGGAGGCTATGAAATAATCATCCTTGATACTTGTATCAACGTTTTGAGCATGGATGAACAGAGTTTTCAAATGACAGACAGACAGACATGAAGAAAACTTTGGATATACTGAAGTAGAAACGTGCAGGTGCTCCCAAGTCTGTGCTGATCCAAATGTATTTCAGTTCATTTAGTCTATGGTAACATGTGATTTATTATAATGTATTGTATTTTCACATAAATCTTGCAGGTCCTCTGGCATTTCAAGCTGTCTTGACCTGTTTCCCCATGTCTGCAGACAGACAGGTACAGCAAAAAGAAAAACATAAACAATTCTAAAACAATAATGGAACAATTGAGACTGACAAATTGTTGGATTTTTTTATTATTATTATGATACCTTTGATAATTTAGAGATGTATGATATTTTTTTTAACAAACCCAGGTTTGCTGAGTTATGGACCACCATCCTACGTGCAGGAGTTTGACAATGTGTATGTGTTGGCCAGTGGTACCAGTTTCTACTCTCAGTGTTTGCCTCCTGGTAGCCTGCACTTTGGAATGTCCTTCACTGCAATGCACTGGCTGACCACCAGGTATGATGGTAGTATTCCAGGTATTTTATAAATTTTATTGAAAATATTGTCTGTGGTTATTCCGCCTCTGATCTTCATTTACAATAATTACTAGTATTTAAAAATATTATTGAAGATTCACTGTTTGTACACCATTAACTGTGATAGATCATATCAACTCGGGTTTTATTAATGTTTCATTGCCATTTGAAATTATAAAAGCTTTATTTTCTTTTGACAGGTATATAAAGAGTATATGTTCAGTAAAGAGGGGATCTTAATTTAAGATACAGAATATGCTTTTTCGTAGGCTAACTGGGCAAACCTAAAAGCTCACTTAATCATGATCTTTAGCACAGTCCAGATGATAAATGACCTTAAAAAGAAAACTAGATTTGAGCACATAAGTAAAGACACACATATAAAATGCTTGCAGACCTGGTAAAGTCACTGGAGCATTACACCACACTGATATCACAGACCTTACGGAGAAAGCTCTGTTCCAAGCCCAGGCAGCCAAAGACTGGGAAACCATCCTTCTGGCTAGAGCTAAGGAGTTGAAATCAGGTAGGCAAAGGTAAAGTTTATGTTTGGAATGCTCCTTAACAAACCCAGATTACCTAAGTCTGGGAAACCATCTCCTGGATAGAGATACATTTCATGGCAGGTATTCTGTACAGTTCTGAATGATCACAGACAAGGCAATAAACACATTTTCACCTCTCTTATGACTGAAGACACTGCAAGCCAAATTAAATCTTCAAATCTGTTTGAAATAAATCTTTAAATCTATTTGAAATTAGTTGGATCATTAATACATTATTATCACTTTTATTTGTATATCACGTGTATTATCAAAATGTTTATGTGAAAGGATTTTTTGTAGTTAATTGATTACATTTATGCATTGAAATGTGTATAACTAATCAGTGACACCTCTATATTTATAATATTATTGTTATAAATACTTCATTTGTCATTTGCTGTTCAGGTGGTAGGATGGTTGTTGTGTGTTTCTGTGTGGACAAAGAAGGCCAGTACTTGGGAAACACAAAGTATATCAAGGAGCACATGTTCCATAACTTTAACAAGTACTGGAAGGAGATGGTCACCGAGGGAGAGATCACACAGGTAGGGGAACATAACTTTAACAAGTACTGGAAGGAGATGGTCACTGAGGGAGAAATCACACAGGTAGGGGAATATTACTTTAACAAGTACTGGAAGGAGATGGTCACGGAGGGAGAGATCACATAGGTAGGGGAACATAACTTTACCAAATACTGGAAACAGATGGTCACTGAGGGAGAGATCACACAGGTAGGGGAACATAACTTTAACAAATACTGGAAGGAGATGGTCAGCGAGGGAGAGATCACACAGGTAAATGGTCAGGGGAGAGAGAGAGCAGAAATTCATGCATAAAAACAAAAGAAAAATTAGGTTGTATGATAAGGCATCTTTTCAGTTATCATTGATGTTTTTACTTTTTTGTTTTTGGTTATTTATTGCATTTCATTGACATTTACAGTAGTTGCATATGCAGAGTAGTATTGGCAAATTGAAGATGATTGAATCAGCTTGGAGAATTGTGAGAAAATAAGTTGTAAAATTATTGTGGTATTTGTAAGACAACTGTTATCTGTACAAAAGCTTGCAATCTATTGTCTTCCAGGAGGAATTTGACAATACAAATTTCAATAACTACTATCGAACCATTGAAGAATACAGTGCTCCTTTCAATGATCATGATTCCGCTGTGTCTAAAGCTGGTATGAAGCTGGTTACCATAGAGACAAAGGTTGTTCGTTGTCCATACAATGAAAGATGGGTCAGAGAAGGGAAAAAAGGTATTCTTTTAATTTTATTTATAATTTTTTTTATATAACATGTATACGTGCATTGAAGCAAAATTTTAGTTATGTCTGATCAGAGTATATAAAAAGGAGAGATGGCTTAATTNATTTTTCTGGCAATTTAACAGTTTTTTGTGAAAATTTAATTTTTCACTTATTTGCATCTTTATTTTCTGTTCTTTGTCTGTACATTTGACAGCTTTGCTGCCTTGTTATACCACTGCCCATGGCCAAGGACCAGTGGATGGGATCGTAGGGGAAATGAAACATCAGGTTTGGAGAGCAGTGCTCCAGAGAAAAATGGTGAAGATACACCTTATCAATTCTATTTGGCTGGCAAAGAATTATGCCCCAATGTCAACGTAATGTACCTGTCTGCAGCAGATATTGTAGCAGCTACTGCGCCCATCAGCAGTCGCTGGGAAAACTGTCCACCTATTCCAGGAATTCAACACTTCCAACAGCTTTAGCCCCAGCCCCAGCCCTGTGGACATGTTCTTGTGTCAACCAATTCTCAGTACCAGCCACCCTCTTAATATGCTAAACTTATTCATATGACTGTGGACTTTGATTTGCCTGCACATCCGCACTTTGACAATGTCGGTCAAGGCACAGCTCAGTCTCACCAGGGAGATTTTGTCATTGCGGAGTTTGCTGTCAGGAAAGGAGTAAAACAATTCTTAGGTCAGGTCACCCATGACACTGAAGACGGCAAAGTGGAAGTCAGTTTTTTAAGTACTGCAGGTTCTGGCAAAAGAATCTTTGTGTACCCTGCCACAGAAGACAAAGCATGGATTCCCATAAAAGATGCAAAGGAAGTCCTTCCAATGCCTAGCATAGACACTCGTGGACTTAACTTGTTTCCATCACCTGTTAATGTGACTGGTTGAAAAAAATCTCTTAAGTGCAGAAAAGATATCTGTTCTAAGACTAATTGAAAAACAGGAATTATTATGTGAACTATCATGGACAGTGTTGATTGATATTGAGAAATAGCAGTAATGGACAATGGATTACATGAAAATTATACTGTGCCTTATCGCTATGTCATGATAATTAATTAATATTATAAACATATTGCATCTGGTGACTTTTCTAAAGTACAGAAATGCTATTTTGCAATAACCATCAAGTAAGATTCATTAGATACAAAAATGTGGCTTTTTAAACCTCTTTTCTAAGATTTTTCAATAGTGCCCAAAAGTGTCCCGTCAGAGACGTCCCGTCAGAGCCAGTGACTTTTTACACTTAACAGCCCATGCTGCCAAGGAAAGCAAACAAAACTGGCCTGTTTGTGCATTAATTGCTTCCCAAGACTTGTACCTTGCAATATGAATTACAAAAGTCTTGATTAAATGAAAATTCAAAGAGAATTTTGCATTGGAATTTTAGTAAAAAAAATACATGGGTCAAAAATGTCCCGTCAGAGACCGACCTTTAAGTGATTGTTATTCCCACATTTATTTCAATACAAATTAGCTGCTTGTTTTACATAATCCTTTATGGTCCAGCTAAATAAAAATGTATTTAAAAGTAACCATGTGGATCATTTACCAACTGCAATTTTTAAAATTGTCTCTAAAATGTCCCCTCAGAGACATTTCAAATACCGTATTTTGACCCATTTGCAATAATTACTAGTATTTTAAAATAGTATTGAAGATTCACTGTTTGTATGCCATTAACTGTGATAGATCATATCAACTCGGTTTTCTTAAAATGATTTTATTGCCATTTGAAATTATAAAAGCTTTACATTCTTTTGATAAGTATATAAAGAGTATATGTTCAGTAAAGAGGGGATCTTAATTTAAGATACAGAATATGCTTTTTCGTAGGCTAACTGGGCAAACCTAAAAGCTCACTTAATCACTATCTTTAGCACAGTCCAGCTGATAAACAACCTTAAAGAGAAAACTAGATTTGAGCACATGATTAAAGACACACATATAAAATGCTTGCAGACCTGGTAAAGTCACTGGAGCATTACACCACACTGATATCACAGACCTTACGGAGAAAGCTGTGTTCCAAGCCCAGGCAGCCAAAGACTGGGAAACCATCCTTCTGGCTAGAGCTAAGGAGTTGAAATCAGGTAGGCAAAGGTAAAATTTATGTTTGGAATGCTCCTTAACAAACCCAGATTGCCTTAGTCTTGGGAAACCATCTCCTGGATAGAGATATATTTTATGGCAGGTATTCTGTACAGTTCTGAATGATCACAGACAAGGCAATAAACACATTTTCACCTCTCTTATGACCGAAGACGCTGCAAGCCAAGTGAAATCTTTAAATCTATTTGAAATAATTCTTTAAATCTATTCGAAATTAGTTAAACATAAATACATTATTATCACTTTTATTTGTATATCACGTGTATTATCAAAATGTTTATGTGAAAGGATTTTTTGTAGTTAATTGATTACATTTATGCATTGAAATGTGTATAACTAATCAGTGACACCTCTATATTTATAATTTATTGTTATAAATACTTCATTTGTCATTTGCTGTTCAGGTGGTAGGATGGTTGTTGTGTGTTTCTGTGTGGACAAAGAAGGCCAGTACTTGGGAAACACAAAGTATATCAAGGAGCACATAATCCATAACTTTAACAAGTACTGGAAGGAGATGGTCACCGAGGGAGAGATCACACAGGTAGGGGAACATAACTTTAACAAGTACTGGGAGGAGATGGTCACTGAGGGAAAGGTCACACAGGTAGGGGAACATAACTTTAACAACTACTGGAAACAGATGGTCACTGAGGGAGAGATCACACAGGTAGGGGAACATAACTTTAACAAATACTGGAAGGAGATGGTCAGCGAGGGAGAGATCACACAGGTAGATGTACAGGAGAGAGAGAACTGAAATTCATGCACAAAAACACAAGCAAAATTAGGTTGTATGATATGGCATCTTTTCAGTTATCATTGATGTTTTTACTTTTTTGTTTTTGGTTATTTATTGCATTTCATTAACATTTACAGTAGTTGCATATGCAGAGTAGTATTGGCAAATTGAAGATGAAAAAAAGTTGCAAAATTATTGTAGTATTTGTAAGACAGTTGTTATCTGTACAAAAGCTTGCAATCTATTGTCTTCCAGGAGGAATTTGACAATACAAATTTCAATAACTACTATCGAACCATTGAAGAATACAGTGCTCCTTTCAATGATCATGATTCCGCTGTGTCTAAAGCTGGTATGAAGCTGGTTACCATAGAGACAAAGGTTGTTCGTTGTCCATACAATGAAAGATGGGTCAGAGAAGGGAAAAAAGGTATTCTTTTAATTTTATTTATAATTTTTTTTATATAACATGTATACGTGCATTGAAGCAAAATTTTAGTTATGTCTGATCAGAGTATATAAAAAGGAGAGATGGCTTATTTACTGTATTATATTGAGGTAAAGTTGAATGATAATTGAAACAGTACGGTCGAACAGTACAGCAATTTGTAAATCATGGGCCCATTCTCTCTTTCAGATGACCCAGAGGCAGCAGCCAAACATGCCAAGTGGTATATCCCCACCTTACGCACCTGGAGCAACTCCACCTTTCTCTCAGGTCTGGATAGCTCTCGCTCAGAGGAGGAAAAGGCCGCCATTGTGGATAAGTTCTTTATGAAGTACGAGAGGGCTGTGGCATCAGCCCCAGAGGATCATGGAATGGACTATGTTCACGCTTATATAGACATTGAAAGAAATTAAGATTTGCACTATTTTTGCTCGATTTTATCAGGAAGGCTTTTAAAAATAGTCGAAATGACAGTGGCTTGTCTCCAAGTCAGCTGTATCAAAAAGGGTTGTATGTTATGCCAAGAAAAAGTTATTTGGGCCCTCAGTCATGTCATGTGGGGACTATAATATTTTTATGTCTATCAATTCCATGGTCAGGGTATACTTAGCACAGGTGGATCCAGGATTTTGCTAAGTTTGGGGGGTGTGTGTGTGTGTGCAAATAACAAAGATTCAATAAAAATTGAAGTACCAAGCAATATAAGGGCTTGGGTCTTGATGTAAGTATCTTAACGTTTTATAGGCTGACAATATGGTTGCAGGTCTGCAGATGTTGCCTGATGCCTGTACGTTTGTTAGATTTAATATGTTCCCTAAAATGAATCCAAAATGTTCTCTTTATTTCCTAAAAGTGTGATGGATTTTTATCACAGAACATCTTAGTCAACGCACAGGGCTGTCATCAGATAGGATGAACATTCCTACAATGCACACAACATTGCTCCATGTATTACAGTAGTGCAAGGATAAAAAATATTTGGGTGTATATATTATTACTGTTATATTACATTCATGACATCATTCTTTCATGTAAATCCCATCGGGTGTCTGATACTTGTTAATACTTATTATGAGAATTTCACAAAGACATTCTATGGAAGTTACCTGTATTTCCTTTTCACCAAGATTTGTGAAAGGAGCAATCTGTAGCAATATGTTTGTCTTCTTGAGCTCTATTTACAGGTGCAATTTCTTTTTTTATGATCATTTTTTTTTATCTGGGGCAATCTCACTACCTCATGTATCCCATATTTTTTTCCAACATTATCAGATGCCTTTTTAATTAGTGTAATCTGTTTTTTTATCTCTCTCTCTCTCTCCTTTTTCTAATAGTTTTAAAAAATTGCTTCCTGCATTTCATCAAATTTCACACAATTTTCCTTTGTACATTTCTCGTCAACATCTCATCCAAGGCATCTATCTGCAGATTCTTCACTTTCTCACTGCTTTTCAGTTCTGAACTGTTCAAGTTTCCCTCACATTCAAAAATTTCAGAATCGACCATCTACCCTCTACTGCCAAACAACTAAATCTGTTTTTCAACTAGTGTAAAGGCAAACAGACATTTTGTGTATTCTTGAAAGACTTCTTACTTACAGGCTTTATTTTGTAGGATTTAAAGACATGTCACCTTGAATAAAGGCCTTTTATCTCATTTTTTCACAGCAGTGAATTTTCTCTCTGTCTTTCTTGTTATTGATTTCGAAACTTTTTCATGTTAAGGTGATGAGACATGATGTGAGCAAAGTTAATAACGTCAATGAGCCTGATGATTCTAGCAAATAGAGCCATGTCTCTTCACTGTCTATGAAAATGAAATCCCCATATTCCCCATTGGGGAAAAAAGGTGGATGGGCATAGATAATTCGAAAAAAGATGTAATGGGAGAAACTAAATAATTGAAAGATGCCTAGGAGCTGAGATAAAGTATGAAATAAAGAGAAGTTAAATAGGGCAACTGAATGCACATGTGCTTTTCTTCAAGACTAATCCCACCCACTGAAGTTCTGATATAACCTTTCTTTCCCTGCCCTTTTTGTATTTTCAGGCGCTGCCTTGATTCTTTTGGGGACTTAAGATTTTTTGGCACTGTTTTTTTTCATGTTGGTTCTTCTATCAGCATTCTCAGAGTACTTTTTTGGTGTCTAATTATGTAAGGGCAGAGCGAACTTTGCTAATGTTATAAAATTTTGACCTCTGCTGATATTCACTCCTATGTTTTCTAACACTCAAGAGGTCATTGAGAATTTTAAAGAAATCATCAGTAGCATTGATTCCTTGGTCCTGTAAACCGCATATTCTAATATTCTGCCTCTAGGCAGTGCTGCATGCTACCAACAAGAGTAATGAGTGTTTTCTGGGATATTATCCCAATCTTCCTGGAGGCCTTGCCAGAGGTTGTCCAGATTAGTAGGTGGGCAGTTTCTTCTCTGCATTGCACGCTCCCGAATTCATCCCATAGACAATTCAAAAGAGTTTGTGTCTGGGCTTAAAGGTGGCTGCTCCATTTTTTTTTAAACAAAACCCCTCACCAGAAGAGAATTATGGGCATGTGCGTTGTCTTGTTGTAGTCTGTAGTTGTCCTGTAAGTAACCTCTTACGAAGGGAATGAAACTCTGGAGAATTTCATGGTAAGTTGCCCCATTCAGGTTCTGTTCCAGAAGTACCAACCTACTACATGTAGAACATGTAATGTTACCAAAAAGTGCACTGATCTACCACCACCTTTGAACTGTTAAGATTTTATAACATGGTAGAAAAACGAAAAAAATTAATTTTGACATTTTCCTGCACACACTATTCCAAGAGACGTTCCCCAACACGCCTACGACTCTCAGCAGACCAATGCTAGGCTACAGCAGAAACTTTGATTCATTCATCAAAGAGAACATGATTCCAGTGATGGATGGTCAAGTTTCGATGACTCCTTGCCCACTGCAACCTTGCCCCGACATGTCAAGGTCTCAGTTTGGGTTTCTTAATCATACCTGTAAGTGTACCCAAGCTGCAGTAGTCTGGGATTGACGATTTCCCGATAAACCCTCACCAAATGGCGTGCATGCAGCTGCACAAAAAGTGGTTCTGGTCGATCATTTTCTGTTTCTTCTCACAATATTGACCAGTGTTCGATCCACAGTTACTCGTGGACGACCAGAAGATCTGTTCAGCTTCAAGATTTCATTGCAAGGCATTCTTTTGTAGGGCCATACTGACTGCTTTCCTACGCACACCAAGGCGTCTGACATTTTCTTTTTGTAAAATCCATGCAGCTTCAAATGCAATTGTCTGGTTAGGCACCCCAACGCTTTTTGCACTCGGCATTGTCCAAACTTCATGTAAAAATACTCTGTCGTTGCCTGGGCTATGAAGAATGGGATGCAAGGCCATAACCCAGGCTTAATATGGAGGCAAAATGACAAGCGTTCGGGTACCCATATTTGATTCCCTACCCTCGCATGCATTCACAATCTCTAGAACAGTTGTCAAAGTATTCCTACGTACACCTGAGGGTTAGTCAACCATGTGTTTTACATTAATGGAGGAGGTCATTAGGTAAAAATGAAGAAAAAACAGAAAAAATGATGTGTAATGTAGGAGGGACAACTTTTTGACCAGGTATGTGTGAACAAATTATATGGACATGTAGGTGATTTCAGTATTTTGATTCTTAATATCCCTTACGATTGACCTTTTTTGTCTCTTTGGAACTCCACAAAATGAAATGGGTACAGAATTTGTTTGCACATTTTTGTTCCAACTTTTTTTCTTTATATGTTGAGTGAATGGTATTATTCAACATGAACATTCGTAAAATGCTATTAAACTTCAGTATGTAGTTCCGGTGGGGATATTTCATCAAACAGCGCTGCGTACTAATAAATGCGGCCTTCATCGGCCTTATTTTGAACAACCATTTTTGTGTTTGTCCATACTACATATGTTTGTGTGAGATAGAGCGATCAGGTGACAAATAAGAGCGCGAAGAAATGAAAATTATTTTAGCAAGTTATGATAATTTAAAACCGAAGATGATATGTACACTCGGATGTGTAAGGTCGTCTGATAATCCTACATGCATTGTGAATATGACTGACATTCTAATGTGGCCACGAAAATTGCTTTAAGTTAAAAAATTTATATTATTGAAAATCCCATCCGCGCCTGGAGCAACTCCCCCTTCCTCTCAGGTCTGGATAGCTCTCGCTCAGAGGAAAAGGCCGCCATTGTGGATAAGTTCTTTTTAAAGTACGAGAAAGCTGTGGCATCAGCCCCAGAGGATCATGGGTTGGATTATGTTCACGCTTATATAGATATAGAAAAGATGTAAACTTTCAACTATTGTTCTGCAGAAAGAGATTTGCCTCTGTATAACCATGGTAATGTTGTATGCAATTCAGTAAATCGTTTCTAAATATTGTTAAAAGACCTCGTAACATGCGACAATATGCAGCAATAAATGAAAATGTACTACTAGCAGGCAAGGTGACATCTTTATCACAGATTAATGAGGACGCATTGTGATACAACTTACGTAACAGTGAACATGTGCGCCACAATGAAGTTGGGGCTGTGTTGAGCAAATATTTCTTTGGATTACTGGTATGGTGTTTTGTGTGTTTTTGAAAACATGGTTAGCCATTACAACTATGTTGTTAAATTGGAATTAAAAATTGTTTGTTTCTGCTCGGTTCTGTTTCTGTATCTATTGTTAAATTTTAAGAGTTGAACTGTGACCTCATTGAAGAGCTTCCGAATGTTTGTATGTATCCCTTACTTATACGAGTATCTTGGATACCTTATGCATTTTTGCTAAAAAAAAAAAGAAGCTCTCGTGTCTAGACTGTTGCGTGTATGCTCAGTGTCCTAAAAAACAAGTTACTAGAACATGCGGGTCGTGTTCAGCACATATTAAAGTGGATGTTATGTGATACAACTTGCGCAATCGTGAACATATAAACCACAATAAAAAGAGATTGCAATTTCAATTGAATCTGGGTCATCTGATATTTTTCAGCTTGACTACTCGCTTTCATCAAATCACACACAAAAATGCTAACTAGGTCAAATGATGTGATGTCAGTAGGAATCATCTATGAAAACCCAGTCTCGGGAGAGAGGGATTTTTTTGGTGAGTGGGGTCAGAAATGACAACAGACGAGCGAATGGGTCTACGAATAAAAACTGACAATGCATCCACGTAAATATACTTGTTTACATTTTGAATTGGTGAATGTCTGCCTCTAGGAGAGCTTTCTAGCCGAGTGTGATGAATATACAACAGCAGGCCCGTAGCCAGGGGGGTTTCGGGGGGTTCGAAAGAACCACCCTTTTTGCTGGGAAAAGGTCCACTCTGGGTAAAATTTGATCTATGTACTTGAGGATTTTACGTTAAAAGGTCCACTTTTTCAGAAAACGAACCCTCCCCTCTGAGATTGCTGGCTACGGGCCTGAACAGCCTTTACCACGTATAACACGCGCGTTATGCAATCGTTTGCAGGCACTCGATCAGCACTGTTAACAGAATTCGATAAAAATCAGCAAAGTCAATTGTAAGACTGGGTTCCCATGCCTAGCTCGATCCAACAGGATCGATCAAGCTCCATGGGCTTCACGCTAAATTGTCATCAACTCAAGCGACTTAAATGTCTGTCATGCCTACCGAATCTGCCTGGGTAATCAACTTTCGTGCGGCCTCCGGTAGTTAATTGCCCCCTAACAGCTTATGTAGACGTGACAGACATTAAAGCCGCTTAAGCTGAAACCAATTTAGTGCGAATCCCCTTGGAGATAGATCGATCCAAAGTTAGTACGATAGGCACTGGGAATGGTCCCTAAGTTGACCATTTACACAACGAAAGTTTCTGATTCGAAACTGATACCACAGAGAAACTGATTTCTAACTTAATTAACTTTCACATGACACCCATGAACCTTGCTCACCTATGTGGCCCAGTACGACCTTAATTTAGGGATCTTTAGCTACCGAACGACCTATTGGTATATGTTCAGGAATTCATTTATCCTAAAAACTGTCATTGACTGGAACCACTGTCGTGTGCTGACAATCTGTGGACTCGTTCAGGGCGGCATGTTGAGAATATAGGTTCGTTAACGATATCAGTTTGTGATTTCAGTAAGAACAGAAATTTCTTACACTGCAGTCATGGCAGACATTCAGTTGCCCCACAGTCACATACCCTACGGCAAGGAGGGCTCCGGCTTCTTTAGTGACTACAGCAGTGGATGTTTTAATGTTATAGACGCAGCCACTCCTATGGTCCTCGATGCCCTGGGTAAGATATATTGAAAAATCATATATACAACCACTCATATGATCCTCAAAGTTCATTTCTCTGGAAAGATGGACTGTCAGACTCTATCTCATCTGTGGACCACGGCATCCGATCTTATTGCTACTAAATCTGTGGCTATATGACATAAAACATCTGTATGAAGGAAAATAAGTTATGGCATGTTTATGCCCCCTAAATGTTCGATTGTTTGTATCAATTTTCTATGTGTTAATTTCAACATATGATATAATCCATATATTTCCACTATTTACTTTTAGATAAAGTTCCAGTGAAAAGTTTGGACGCTCCATTTATAATTGCTGACTTTGGGACTGCAGACGGTGGGACCTCCATTTTTCTTATAACCAAAATGATAGGTAAATTGTCTTACTCGTATATTTGCTGTAATTCTGAATCTCGTACGGATGGATTACACACGGGTTATAATTATTATTATTATTATTATTATGAAAAAATGCAAGAAATATTAAATTATATCACTTTTCAAATACAGTTTTGACATAGAAACATGTATAAAGTTGCTTTGATTTATCATAATTGGATTTTAAGTCATATTTCAAAAAATTATAAATATTATCCGTTGGTCGTCATTGGACATTCAAGATTTTACATTCATATAATAGGTCCTCGATCTGGCCTACTTTCAGTTTAAAAATAGATAAAGATAAACCACAGTTCATTTTACTCTTTGGAATTGTGTAAGTGCTATTTCACAAATCTAAAATTACACAAATATTCCAGAAACACTGAATTATTTTACTTCTTAGTTACAGATATGAATTGAGTACATGAGGGAGCTATATGTTCTTTGGCTCCGTGGAACCCTAAAACGAAAACATACTGTGAAAGTCAAAATACAGATTCTAAAAATATTGGACATATTTATAATTATATGGTGCCACCTTTCTGTTGATTTCACTGTTTTTGTCTGGTAGAACGCGTTTATGTCAATGATGCTAATAAAATATTCAAAACTTGCATTTGATATCTACATACCAGGTACAACTACATACCAATTCTGATCAACATCAAATAAAATAATATGTGTGTGTGTGTGTGTGTGTGTGTGTGTGTGTGTTTAACATTATTCTAAAGAAGTTCTACTTATCATTGTTTCAGAACGTTTGCGTAAAAGGCACGGCAAGGAACTGCCCCTTCAAGTGGTGTATGAGGACCAGCCTTGCAATGACTTCAAGTCGCTGTTTTTTAGAATACATGGTAGGCAGTAAGAGTACATTCACAATGAAACTACATATATCATACTAGGTAGTTTGAACTAACTACGCGGGAACTATTGCCGAATGCAATCAGATTTGACTTACACGCCTCGTCCCGGCTCTGGGTAGAAAACAGTAAAGCTGGTGGTGTAACGAGTACGTTGGAAACCAGAAGTCTGTCAATCTGTTATCGACATGCAAGTATTAATGACGGCAGCATGTAGCTCCATGCTACCTTAGCAATAGAAATCGATGGCAGTTTAACGTATGTCCATAAAGTGATTTGTGTGTGAGATAAAGATGCACTTTAAATGCCAGAGGAAGGCTGATATTATGTTTTTTTTACGAGGTTTGCTGAGCCATGCACCCACGTCCTACATGCAGGAGTTTAACAATGTGTATGTGTTGGCCAGTGGTACCAGTTTCTACTCCCAGTGTTTGCCTCCTGATAGCTTGCACTTTGGTATGTCCTTCACTGCCATGCACTGGCTGTCTACTAGGTACGTGAACTGTTTTTAATATCTTAATAATTTAAATAAACAACGCTTCAAGGAACGACGTTATGTTTAATAATTCGGATTAACCTAATATACACTGCACTAGTACCACTGTGTCATAAACTGCTGTAGTTCTTAAAATTATTGATTTATTGTTCATTATCATTAAAGTATTTGTCTTTTGTGTCTTAGTATTGAAATTGAGAAATGTTTTTCTCCCACCTTTTCAAACTATTCCAAACTACCTTCTATCTTCCAGTATGTATGTATGTGTGTATGTGTGTGTATGTATGCCCAGTATGTATGTATGTACCTTGAGAGAAAATAACGGTGGAAAATTTGATAAAATGGTTTGTGAAACACGGCCTTTTGTTCGGCTTTGTCAGAGAACATACCAACAAGTGGTTAGAACTAGTGCCAGCAAAATATGTGGAATCATGCACAAAAATATTTTCAGACCGTGTAGAATCACCGGAGCTCTGGTACATCTTGATATCACAGATCCTACGGAGAAAGCTCTGTTCCAAGCCCAGGCGGCCAAAGACTGGGAGGCCATTCTTCTGGCGAGAGCTAATGAGTTGAGATCAGGTATATACAAACGGGTATCAGATATGTAGTAAAGTATAATATGCTTTTATTTCAGTAACATTTTATTAAAGATAAAGAGACTACGCTGTACAAAAATCACCAGAGCTCACAAAACAAACATTGATGACCAGAATTTTTAGAAGTACGTTAATCTCACTGGTTGCTCTCGATGTTTTGAATAGGTTTTATTTCTGCATTTCTCCTTTTTGTATCTGCATTTCTCCTTTTTGTACTTTTTGTGTGATCAGTAGTGTGGCACATATACTGCATTTTTTTCACAAACTCGTCTAGGTTTGCCTTATTTAATCGTTTATTTATACATTCAAATAGGCATGCAATATTTGTAAAGTGTGACTTCTGAAAGCGGTTCTTGTTTTCCCTGGTACACCTCATATATTCTTTTTTTTTTTTGTTGTTTTGTTTTTATTATATTATCTTGTGATTAGCTTAGTTTAACCGTCATAGACTCATTTAATTTCTTTGTATTTCTTGGTATTCAGGGGGCAGAGCTGTGATCATAGTTCCATGTTTAGACAAAGAAGGACAATATCCAGGTGCCACAAAAAATATCAAGCAGACCATGTTCCACAGTCTTACCAAATACTGGAAGGAGATGGTCACAGAGGGAGAGATCACACAGGTAAGGGAACATTACTTTAACAAGTACTGGAAGGAGATGGTCACTGAGGGAGAGATCGCACAGGTAGAGGAACATAACTTAAACAAGTACCGGAAATACATGAAAGAGAACAAAAGTTCAAAAAGTACTGGTTAGGGATGTTGAGATTCGCTCGAGCCTGTGTTATCGCGATCCAAAAACACAGAGAAGTCGAACATCTAAAATGATTAATTATACATTTCTGTCATTGCCTAAGGATTTGGCTATTTAGAAAAAGTATAACTGTCTGTCCAATTACAATTGCGATCAATACTTTCAGGAAGAATTTGACAACACAAGCATCAACGTCTATATTCGAACACTAGAAGAATGCAGCGCACCCTTTTATGACGCGAACTCTGCTGTGTCCAAATGTGGGTTAAAAGTGCTGTCCATTGAATCAAAAGTGGTGCGTTGTCCATTCCATGAGGAATGGACAAGGAGTGGAAAGAAGGGTTTGTTTGTGCATGTTCTTTTCTATATATTATCATTCCACAGTTCCACTCGACCTAATCCATTTACTTAGTTTAAATACTGCTAGTTGTCACACTGTCATATAAAAATTGAATGTATTTTGCTGATCTTCGCCCATCAATATGGTACGCTGCCAAATGCTTCACGTGTCCTCATGCCTGTATCAAAATAATACGTTCACATACAGGGAGAGGATGTGTATTTTAATAAAATATTAATATCCTTAATGGCGTTTCAATTAACGGATGATGACGCATCTTGAAGCGATGTCAAGACTAAATCATTGTTATTGACGTAGGCGCGAGTTATTTATTTATCTTATTAACTATTATTACTATTATTTAGTGAACTGGAGTACAGTTGCCTCATTATAATACGATACCACTGATTTATCTGGGTCAAAGTGGATCATGGCCAAAAAAGCTACCTAATATCTTCTGTGAAAAAGATGTTTGTGAATTATAATTAATTTGCTTAAGGTAAGCAATGAGAGCAAATGGACTGATAAAATGACATTGTCAATTCTAGGTGGCCAAGAGGCAGCAGCCAATCATGCCAAGCGGTATATCCAATCCCTCCGCGCCTGGAGCAACTTCTCTTTCCTCTCAGGTCTGGATAGCTCTCGCTCAGAGGAGGAAAAGGCCGCCATTGTGGATAAGTTCTTTTTGGAGTACGAAAAAGCAGTGGCGTCAGGGCCAGAGAATCATAGTGCAGATTATGTTCAAGCTTTCATCGACATTGTAAAAATGTAAAATCTTCAACTATTCTTTTGCTGAAATATGTTTTTCATTGCCTCCTGTATAAGGATGGTAAAAATGAACTTATGTTTGAAGAGACTAGACTTCTTTTTGACAAGAGCTATTCTTTATTGCATGGCCTGCTCAAGATATCGAAAAGACACGGCCACATGCTACAAAGTCAGCATTATCACATAAAGGCATGTATTCTTCGCTAAGTGCAAGTGTTTCTCTGTTGAGGACTTCAATGCACTGACCATCAACACCCCTTGACCACCATGGAGTTAATTTGACTCCTATATAAGGGTCAAATTACCCCACTACCCGAGTCTTTAGACTCTCTTATAAGAGTCAATCACCCCCTGGCTCTCATGGAGTCAATCTGACTCTAAAATAAATCTGACTCTAAGTCAGATTACCGGGAGCCAGTGTCTGGCTGACCCCTTTCACCGACTCTTTTCGCTCGCTGGACAGTAAGCCTTGTTTCAGTACTTGTGATGGCAGTGGGCAGACGGCGTGGATTGAACAGTTTGCATCATCCTTTGTCAATATAAACATTACTTTATTGGCCATAGTTGGTTTTATGCATGAACAAGTGTTTTTCTGTGTGTTTCTGCATGCAGAACTCGTGCACTTATTACTGGCCCGGGCTTTCAGTTGCCCACACCCTTTATGTGATATGTTGGTATACAGGTTAGCAGGTTTTGTTTCCAGGTTGTAGGTTTGACCCGCCAATGCATGTCACTGGGGAGGTATGCTCACTCATTGGTGTATATATATATATATATATATATATATATATATATATATATATATATATATATATATATATATATATATATGTCATGCTGTTTATTACCATATTTACCATACGTGTCAACACCATATGCAGATGGCCTTGTCGTTAGAGTGTCCGCCTCCGGAGCGGGAGGATGTGGGTTCAAACCTATCCGGGGACATATCAATCTTCAATAAACGGCACCTGCTGTTTCCACTCTTGGCACTGTTGATGTTTTTTTGATAAAGTTCCAAGGACTCAAAAAATTCCTTAATATGCATTTGCACTATAATTAAGTGTATCTGCTAAGGTAACTCCAAGATATTTATAAGACTTTTCATAGTCAAGTGGCACTCCACCGCAGTTAAATTGAAAGTTACTCATTTCAACCCCTGGTTTTCTGAAATGTACGATTTTTTTTCTCTTTTGGTTAACAAATAAACTCCATTTATAAGACCACTCACTTAGCTTATCAAGCATAACTTGCAAGGTTTCCTCGGTAGGAGCAATAAATGCCACATCATCTGGAGATAATAATATATCTACAAAGCTATTTCCTACTCTTACACTATAATATAAGGTACAAGAATATGCAGGTCTCGTTTAGCACATATTAAAGTGGTTGTAATGTGATACAACGTGCGCAATCGTGAACATAGGCACTACATTAGCAATTGTGATTTCAGTTGAATTAATTGGGTCATCTGATATTTTTATTTAGTTTATCTACCCGCTTCCATCAAATCACACACAAAAGTGCTAACTAGGTCAAAATGAAGTGATGTCAGTATGAATCATCCATGAAAACCCAGTCTCGGGAGAGAGAGATTTTGTTGTGAGTGGGGTCAGAAAGTATGGTAGACGAGCGAGTGGGGCAACGAATAAAAACTGATAATTTCCGCCGTTATCTTCTACAAGTTCTGTCCAATTATTCTCTTGCACAACAGTATTCACAATGTTTTGGGGAGTTACTTTTGTATTTCAAGGACGACATTCCCTGCTTGTAGTTTCACGCTGTGTCAGGTTAGTCCCATTTTTCGCTGATTCTCGCATGCTTTCCTGTCTTGTTCGACGCCACGGAGTGCTGACAGCTTCCTTTCACCTTTCAAAACAGCCTAATGGAACTAGGTAGGTGGTAGCTAGGTGTTTAGCAAGTAATTAAATAACTTATCATTTTGGTAATTTTCGTAATAAGGTGGTGCTGCAATGAAGATAATGCTTTTGGTCATTATGATTGGGAGGGGTTATTTCGCCTTATAGCAAACCAATTCACTATATTTCTTTCTTGTTTACATTTTGCCTAAATTGTGAAAATCAAGTCTGCGCTCTTGGAGAGCTTTCTAGTTTAATGTGTGATACATATAGGGTAGAATGTATTACACGCGTGTTATGAAACGCTTTTGAAATGTACATAGATGTATATGCATAGAACTGGGGGACGTCTAACTTCCTTTACACAAGAAAGCGATCTTTGTGTCTCCGTTGGAGGTTCAAAAACATGTGGAGGAGAATGGTGGCTGAAAAGAGGCTAAAGCGTCGCTGTGATTACAGAATGTATGCCCAATGGTCAACTCGTTTAGGGCGGCATATTGAGAAGATAGGTTCATTTAGCTTAATGCTATCAGTGTTTGATTTCAGTAAGAAAAGAAAATAGAGGCACCGCAGACATGGCAGAAGTTCAGGTGCCCTGCAACCAAATACCCTACTGGGTACATGTACTTCGAAGAAGGCGGTAGCTTCTTCAGTGACAAAACTAGTGGATGCCTTGATGTTATAGACACATCCATCCCCCTCCCCGTTTTTACGAGGCAGGGGCGAGAAATAAGCTTCGTTAATAATTGGATATGCTTACATCTTTTATCCAATTTACTGTTTAGATAATAAAAAAGAGGAAAATAGATTTCTGTTGAATCTAGGTCTTGATCACCTGATTTTTTCAGATAGTTTACCCATATAAATCACACATATAATAAAAATGCCGCTATTTTGATTCAAAATAGCACAGATACCACATAGAAATACAACAAAGAAATATATTTCTAACTTAATGAACTAGCTTTCATATGATACCCATGAACCTTGGTCACCCGAGGGGCCCAGTAGGACCTAAATTAAGGGATCTCTAGCTACTTAACGACCTATTGGTGTATGTTCAGGAATTCATTTATCCTAAGAACTGTCATTGACTGGAACCACTGTCGTGTGCTGACAATTTCAGGGCGGCATATTAAGAACATAGGTTCGTTAACGATATCAGTTTGCGATTTCAGTAAGAACAGAAAATTCTTACGCTGCAGTCATGGCAGACGCTCAGCTGCCCCATAGCCACATTCCCTACGGCAAGGAAGGCTCTGGCTTCTACAGTGACAATAATATAGGATGTTTTAATGTTATAGACGCAGCCACTCCTATGGTCCTCAGTGCTCTGGGTAAGATATTTTATTATAATGATATATATATATATACAGCAACTTACATAATATGCAAAGTGCATTGCTCTGTAAAGATGGACTGTTAGACTCTGTGGTCGAATCTGTGGACCATATTTCCGATCTTAATGCTACCAAATCTGTGGCTTTATGGCATAAAACATATGTATGAATGAAAACATGTTATGTTATGCCCCCTAAATGTTCGATTATTTGTATCAGTTTTCTATGTATTCATTTCAACATATAATATAATCAATATATTTTCACTGTTTATTTTTAGATAAAGTTCCTGTGAAAGATTTGGACGCTCCATTTATTATTGCAGACTTTGGAACTGCAGATGGCGGGACATCCATGTTTCTTTTAAAGAAAATGATCGGTAAATTATCTTACTCGTATCTATGCTGTAATTCTGAATCTCACACGAATGGATTATCATCAATATTGATGATAATCCATTCGTGTGAGATTCAGAATTACATACGAATGGATTATCATCAATATTATGAAAACAATGAAAAAATGCATGGAATTTTAAATTATATCACTTTTCAAATACAGTTTTGACATAAAAATTCATCTATTTAGTTGCTTTTACCCTAGTTGGATTCTAAGTCATATTAAAAAATATACAAATATTATCCGATGGCCGCCTTTGGACATTCAGGATTTAGCAGTCATATAGAACTATGTTGGTCCTTAATCTGACCTATTTTCAGCTTTGAAATAGATAAAGAGATACCACAGTTCATTTTACTTTTTGGAATCGTGTAAGTGCCACTTCACAAATCCAAAAATACACAAATATTCCAGAAACACTGAATCAGATATGAACTGAGTACATGTGGATGAGGAAGCGATTTAAATGCTCTTTGGCTTCGCGGAACCCTGCAACAAAAGCATAACGTGAAACACAATATATGGATTCTGAAAATTCTGGCCATACTTATATTGTGTCATCTTTCTGTTGATTTCCCGTTTCTTGTCTGGTAGAACGCGTTTATGTCAATAATGCTAATAAAATAACCAAAGCTTGCATTTTGTTTTTTTTTTTTTGCAACATTACATGTTATCTGAAAGATCTGGGAGTTACCCTCGATGAAAATGGCACTATGGGGAAGCGTGTATCTGAAGTGTGTTAATTACCATCTTATGCACTATGGCGCATTGGAAAAAGAAGGAAAGTGTTAATTAACAAAAGCACTGAAAAATTAGTACATGCATTTATGCCATCAAGATTAGATTACTGCAATAGTCTCCTTTTTGGTATAAGTGACTATCATATTAAAAAAAACACAAGTTATTCAAAACTCAGCTGCGAGACTGGTTTGTCAAATAAAGTGCAAATAAAGTACAAATAAAGTACACACCATATCACTCCCATTCTGAAAGGATTACACTGGCTGCCTGTGAAGCAGAGGATTGATTTTAAAGTACTTTGCATTATTTTTAAGGCGATCCATACACAAGGACCTTAAAATTTATCTGATCTTATCTGTTTTAACTCACCACGGCGGTCCACACGTTTCAATACTGAGAATAACCTTATTTTAGAATATTCTGTTTTAGAGAAGGGGTGCCTCAAAAGTTATGGCGATCGGGCTTTTAAAATCTTCGCCCCAGGGTGTGGAATGCCTTATCAAATTTTATTAGAAAAGCATAAGACTTTGACAATTTTAAATCCCTTTTAAAGACCCACATTTTAGATCTGTCTATGTCTCTTAGATTTTTTATATATTTTAATAAGATTGATTTTTTAGTAGTGTTAATTTTAAATGGTTTCCAATGAGTATTTTAGATTTAAATATTGTAGTCATTTTAATGATTTGATTTTATTATTCATTATTGTAAGGCGCCTTGAGGTAGAATGTAAGGCGCCATATAAAAAGCTTATTATTATTATTATTATTATTATTATTATTATCATCATTATCTGCATACCAGGCACAACTGGACGAATTCTGATTAACGTCAAATAAAAAAATATGATTAGAAATTCTTCTTACAATTTTTTCAGCACTTTTGCGTAAAAAATATGGCAAAGACTTACCAGTGCAAGTGGTGTATGAGGACCAGCCAGTCAATGACTTCAAGTCACTGTTTTTAAGAACACATGGTAGGCAGTAAGACAGCATTCACAATAAAACTACATGTATCATACTAGGTAGTTTGAAGTAACTACGCGTTAATGCAATCAGATAAGCTCTATACACCTCTGGGTAGAAAACGAGTACGTTGGAACAAGAGGTCTGTCAATCTATTATCGACGTGCAATTATTAATGACGTCAGCATGTAGACCCATGATGCTTAGCAATAGAAATCGATGGCAACTTAACGTATGACCATAAAGAAATTTGTGTGTGCACTTAAAATGCCAGAGTAAGGCTGGTATTTTGTTTTTTTATAAGGTTTCCTGAGCCATGCACCCACTTCCTTCATGCAGGAGTTTGACAATGTGTATGTGTTGGCCAGTGGTACCAGTTTCTACTCCCAGTGTTTGCCTCCTGGTAGCCTGCACTTTGGAATGTCTTTCACTGCCATGCACTGGTTGTCTACTAGGTACAGTAACTATTTTTAATATCTCAAAAATTGAAATAAGTAATGCTTCCAGGGATTTGGAATAATTTCTTAGACTGGTTTCCCCACAGATTTAGATCGATCCATCTGGATCCACCTAACTCCCTGGGGGTTCACGCTTAATTTCTGTCAGCTTCCGGGAGCCGAGCGCACACAAAAGTTAATTACACCCTTACAGCTTTTAGTAGGCGGGACAGACATTTAAGCCGGTCAAACTGACAGCTATCTAGTGAGACTCCCCAGGGGGATAAATCGATCTAAATCTGTGGAAATAGTCTCTTACTAATATACTCTGCTAGTTCCTCTGTGCCATAATTTCTGTACGTAGTTCTTAAAATTGTTGATTTATTTTGCATTATCTTAGTATTTTACCTTTTGGAAGTTTTCTCTTTTGTGTGCGTTATTATTGAAATTTAAAAGTATTTTTTCAAACTATCTTTCTGTCTATCTATCTTTGTTATGTATGTATGTATGTATGTATGTATGTATGTATGTTTCTTGAGAGAAAATAATGGGGGCGAATTTGATAAAATGATTTGTGAAACACTGTCTTTTGTTCGGCTGTGTCAAAGAAATGGTATTAACAAAGCGTGTAAAACCATGCACAAAATATTTACAGACCAAGCAGAATCACTGGAGCTCTGGTACATGTTGATATCACAGATCCTACGGAGAAAACTCTGTTCCAAGCCCAGGCGGCCAAAGACTGGGAAATCATACTCCTGGCTAGAGCTAGAGAGTTGAGATCAGGTATATGTACATGGGTATCAGATATGCAGTACAGTATTATATGCTTTTATTCTAATAACATTTAATTAAAGATAAAGAGACTACTCTGTACAAAAATCATCAGAGCTCGCAAATCATTGATGACCACCAGAATTAAAAAAAAAAACTCTCACGTCAATCTTACTAGTTGCTCTCGGGGTTTTGAATAGATTTTAATTTTGCATTTCAACTTCTTGTAATAAAATCTGTTAAATCGCGTAACACATATGCTGCTTTTTTCACAATATCGTCTTAGTTTCCTTTATTTGATCATTTATATATACATTCAAATAGGCATGCAATAACTTTCCCAGCGGGCAAATTATGTTGTTTTAACGTTGAAACAACGTTGAACCATAACGTTGATAATACGTTGGATAAACATTGGATTTGAAAGTTGACTCAACGTCAGATAACAACATTGTATCAATGTTTTCAACGTTGATCCAACGCGACTATGCCTGCTGGGTTTGTAAAGTGTGACTATCTGAAAACGATTTTTATTTTCCTTGGTAAGACCCATATATTCATTTTTTGTGTTTGTTATATGGATTTGTGATTTGCTTAGTTTTATCATCAACCTGTTGTATTGAATAATTCATAGACTCATTTTCTTCGTATTTCTTGACGTTAAGGGGGAAGGGCTGCGATCATAGTTCAATGTTTAGACAAAGAAGGACAATATCCAGGCGCCACAAAAAATATCACGGAGAGCGTGTTCCACAGCTTTACCAAGTACTGGAAGGAGATGGTTACAGAGGAAGATATCACACAGGTAAGGGAACGTACAGGTAAATTTAACAACTACTGGAAGATGGCCAATGAGGGAGAGATCACACAGGTGGGGGAACATAACTTTAACAAGTACTGGAAGGAGATAGTCACTGAGGGAAATATCGCTCGGGTAGGAGGAAATAACTTAAACAAGTACCGGAAATATATGGCATCTCAGGAAAGAGAACAAAAGTGCAAAAATTACTGGTAAGGGGTGTTGAGAGCCGTTAAGGCCTGTGTTATCGCAATCCAAAAACACAGAGAGACTGTATTGCAATAAGAAATCAATCAACCATTTTGAGAGAGGGAGAGAGAAAGAGTGACAGCTAAAGCGATTTTGAGAGAGCTATATCTGTGTAACGATGTGTGTGAGGTTTTCTAGGAGATTACAGCTGAACGTCTAAAATGATTTATTATACATGTCTGTCTTTGCCTAACGATTTGGTAATTTAGAAACAGTATAACAATCTGTCCAGTTACAATTTCGATCAATACTTTCAGGAAGAATTTGACAGCACAAGCTTCAACGTCTATTTTCGAACAATAGAAGAATGCAACGCACCGTTTTATGACTCGAACTCTGCTGTGTCCAAATGTGGGCTAAGAGTGTTGTCCATCGAATCAAAAGTGGTGCGTTGTCCATTCCATGAGGAATGGACAAGGAGCGGAAAGAAGGGTTTGTTTGTGCATGTTCTTTTCTACATATTATCATTCCACAGTTGCACTCGATCCAATCCATTTACTTAGTTTAAACACTGCTAGTTGTTACACTGCCATAAGAGAATTGAATGTATTTTGCCGATCTTTGGCCTTAAATGTGGTAAGCTGCCAAATGTTTGTCCTCGTACCTCTATCAAATTGATACGTTAACATACAGGGAGATAATGTGTAGTAATTCTTAAAGGCGTTGCAATTAACGGATAATGACGCATCTTGAAAAACTTAAAACTTAAAACTTTATCGTTGTTATTGACGAAAGCGCGAGTTATTTACTTATCTTATTAACCATTATTCAGTAAACTGGAGTCATAATAATACTATATCACTGATTTATCTGGGTCAAAGAGGGCCATGACCTAGCTACCCTATATCTTTTGTGAAAAAGATATTTGGAAATTATTAATTTGCTCAACGTAATCAATGGGAGTCTGCAAAGCAAAAAGCAAATGGACTGATGAAATGACATTGTCAATTCTAGGTGGCCAAGAGGCAGCAGCCAATCATGCCAAGCGGTATATCCAGTCCCTCCGCGTCTGGAGCAACTCATCCTTCCTATCAGGCCTGGATAGCTCTCGCTCAGAGGAGGAAAAGGCCGCAATTGTGGATAAGTTCTTTTTGAAGTACGAGAAAGCAGTGGCATCAGCCCCAGAGAATCATAGTGGAGATTTTGTGCAATATTTTATTGACATTGTGAAAATGTAAAATCTTCAACTGTGCTTTCCCCGAAAGAAGGTTTCATTACCTCTTTTATAATAATGGTAAAAGTAGCTCATATCTGAAGAGACAAGACGTCTTTTTTACATAACGTAGCCTGTTCAGGAAATTGAAAAGACACGGCCACATGCTACAACGGCAGCATTATCACATAAAAGCGTGTATTATTCGCTAAGTGCAAGTTTTTCTCTTTCGAGGACTTCAATACACTGATCATCAATGAAAGCGTTCCAGGAAATATATTTTGGTTTGATTAAAGATAATTTTGGTATCCTTTTAAAACAACATTACAGGCTTGCTGTAGGATGGAACATGGGCTCCGAGTGCTCTTTGATCCCTGTTTAGAAAGGGAAAACGCAGTACTGCACTGGTTCTGTTAGTTATTAACAGCAACTTAACGAAACGAGTGAAGCGGGGAATCTCGAAATATCGGGGAAAGAGCAAACCTCTGAGCTTGATGCAATCCTTTGTGTCGTTTTCATTACTTGTGAGCACATTAGAATGCAACGTTATCTCTGTGACAACTGAAACTGATATTTTTGCAAATATCTTGGTATAAGGTTACATTTATTAAGTAACATCATGTAGAAACTACTAGCCAGAATATATAAAGTGGCTTAAAATATGCTAGTGGGCTTTGGTTTAATTGACACTTTTCGTGATGTTTTGCAATCTTGCTGTCTGTTTTGTTTTGTACTATGGTAAAGGTCTCATTTTGTAACTTTTTCCTTGGTACGTGAATATTAAATTGAGAACTTTTGTTAAGTACCAGTCTATTCAAAAGAAGCAGGCATATTTTGTAAAGCAGGTTAACACCATGGTGAAGTTGGACACTGAAAACATTGAAAAACTGCAAAAAATTTTATGGATGTGCCTGTTTATGTTAAAATCATATGGCGCAAAGGAAATGTATTTATACATGCAGACACTTACATACCTCAAAGTTGCTGAGTGGTTTCGGTTGGTGATAAAGCAGCCTCCTTTCAAAATCAGTGTGACAATTTAAATTTATAAAAGTTTACCTTTTGGGGACTGTTTTGCAATCCTGTTGTCCAATATCGGGCAGAGGCAGACCCCAAGAAGGCATGTACATGTTATTTAAATTTTCAACTCTGAGTCCAATAAATCAAAATAAATTTGGTCATCTATTAGAATACAATATTCTAGTTCTTTCTCTTTTCTTGACCTCATCCCAGCTCTGGTCTCAGAAATTATGTCAACATTATGTTTTGTAATTTTTTTCTTTGTTCCTCATGTACAACTACTGTACATTTCAATTTTAGAAACGGCTAAGCCCATACAAAGAGGGTCGTAAAGGCTATGGCCTTTAATAATGCTTGGGATTACTATTTACCTTAAGAAGAGCTTGTATTGCATCACTTTGTCCTTGAAAAGTACTTAAATTTTCATCAAAAAGCAATTTCACAAAATATTATTCCAAATCTTGCATTTTTTATCCTGAATAAAGACCACAATTCACATAAAAGGATAATATCCTTTTTTGTCTATTTTTATTTTGTACTCTCCATGTTCCAATACAATTGTTTCAAAAAGATCATTTCGGATGGTAGCCATTTATGAAAGTCAACGTGCTCCGGTTGCAAGCACAGATTTCGGAATAACTGCTTTAACCGCCGTTTTTGTGGTAAAATGGAATTTTTATTTCTGTGTGCTGTTTGCAGTGAATTTGTTGTGGAATTTTTGAATCTCATATGATGAGTATGATACCTTTAAGAATAACTGACAAAGAACGAAAAGTTAGAAGTACTGAAATAAGAAAACTACAGTAGCTAGCCAAGTCAGCCTACCTGGAATTATGTATTCACAGTCAAGCTTTATGAATAACCATGTAGCGAATGGCAACTGGCCATTAACGACTTAAGACGGACGCTGTATGGGTAGACTTTTATTGCAATTAAACAACATAAAACACTGCACACAAAATCTTAACATATATTATGAACCATTTTACATACCATGTAAACAAACCGCTATATCAGCCCTGAAGCATTCCTTTTACACACAAAACAGTGAATACTATATAATACAGCTAAACGAATAAAGATAAAATTTGTAGTTGCTACCAGCAGAAAAGAATAATCTTACTTAACAAACATTAACATGACAGCCATGGGACACACTGAATGCAGATCGAAAATAAAATTACACGTACCACCATGCATTTTTGAAGTTAACTTGACGCGCTACATTACCTGATAGCAAGGTAGATTATCTCAGTTTCAAAGAAAGCACTGGCGGTACGGTAATGGCTAATGCTATATTATTTCGTACCACTCTCAGCACTTTACACCCAAACCCAATATAGAGGTGCAAACGATGTCACAGACATGTTCCTAAAAATATGTACAGCACAGATTACAAACTATGTTTGATTATTTTAGGGTCCCACATAAAGAAGTTTGTATTAAAGTTTCACTTTCCTGGAACCACGAATAATAAAAAATAATTCATCATCTAACCCCAAAAAGGAACATACGTTACTGTCACAAATGCATAACGTCTAGCTGTAGAAACGTTTTAATTACTTTAAAAATTCAATCATCACGGGTTTTGTTATTTAATTTATCTCCTACAAGTATAACGTTGTAAAAAATTACGAGAAGCTTTTGTATAGAGCAGTTAATTGTTTTTTAGCGACTTAAGTTTGCTTGTCACTGAATATTAAAAAAACGGGGAAAATACACCCTACCGACAGTAAAATAAGCATTTAATGAATTATTTTTCCCCTCGTGCTCCAAATATTATATCTGAAATGTCAAACTATCATGGAATCACTATATATTTTTCTGTCAGCAAAAAAAACATTGTTTTATCTTGCACCAAGTACTTGTACAAAATGAAACATTTTGTCAATTTTCCTGGGGAACATACGTTACCTAGTATTAGCTATGACGCAGGCCCCATTAGTTACGGTTTAAATATTTATAATAAAACGTCCTTACGTCATATCTAATTTAACATGATCGAATCACTTCAAAATATATAAGAACACGTTATGAAAATAAAAATTAGGTGGCCTGGAACATACGTTACCGGAACATACGTTACCAGTGAAAATCTACTTGTGCCCGAAACTGGCTCCGAAAGAAAAATTAGCTTCTGTTTGAGATGTCAGGTGATTCTTTCTGACGTCTGCTTGAGCTAAAGATTAGATGAGGTTAGTAACAAGTGTAAACAAATCCATAAAATCCTCAGTAACGATCTAGGCGAAGTGAATGATTTTGTCGTAATAAAAAATTTAATTCAAATACAGAAATGAATGTCAAAGACGGAAATAAATGTCAAACAAAACTATGCAAGGAAAAAAATAATCGCCAACGAGCGCAGTGAGCGCAGTGCCAAATACNTTATTTCGGATGGTAGCCATTTATGAAAGTCAACGTGCTCCGGTTGCAAGCACAGATTTCGGAATAACTGCTATAACCGCCGTTTTTGTGGTAAAATGGAATTTTTATTTCTGTGTGCTGTTTGCAGTGAATTTGTTGTGGAATTTTTGAATCTCATATGATGAGTATGATACCTTTAAGAATAACTGACATAGAACGAAAAGTTAGAAGTACTGAAATAAGAAAACTACAGTAGCTAGCCAAGTCAGCCTACCTGGAATTATGTATTCACAGTCAAGCTTTATGAATAACCATGTAGCGAATGGCAACTGGCCATTAACGACTTAAGACGGACGCTGTATGGGTAGACTTTTATTGCAATTAAACAACATAAAACACTGCACACAAAATCTTAACATATATTATGAACCGTTTTACATACCATGTAAACAAACCGCTATATCAGCCCTGGAGCATTCCTTTTACACACAAAACAGTGAATACTATATAATACAGCTAAACGAATAAAGATAAAATTTGTAGTTGCTACCAGCAGAAAAGAATAATCTTACTTAACAAACATTAACATGACAGCCATGGGACACACTGAATGCAGATCGAAAATAAAATTACACGTACCACCATGCATTTTTGAAGTTAACTTGACGCGCTACATTACCTGATAGCAGGTAGATTATCTCAGTTTCAAAGAAAGCACTGGCGGTACGGTAATGGCTAATGCTATATTATTTCGTACCACTCTCAGCACTTTCATACAAAACTCATGGAATTTTTTGCGTAGAATCGATCACCGGTTCATTATCTAGAGATAGGATAAGGAATGCACTATTCACGGGGATATACCTGGGATCTGGCCCTTTTCATATCGTTGAGAACAAAGTTTCGTCAATGATTTTTCACTTACTTTTTCAGTTAGAAAATACAAACATCGCAGGCATGAAAGAAATCCAAGTGCCCCACAGCCATTTCCCTTACGGCAAGACAGGCTCTGGTTTCCACAGTGACAACAATATTGGATGTTTTGACATCATATTTACAGCCTCTCCTATGGTCCTCAATGCTCTGGGTAAGGTAGATCATAATATATATATATATATATATATATATATATATATATATATATATATATATATATATATATATATACTCTTATAATCCTGAAAATACACAGCTCTGTTAAAACTGGATTGTTAGTTTTGCAACGACTATAGACTGTGGCACATGTGCATTTATGGATCTCTTTATCTGACCTTATGGCTACCAAATCTTATAGTATATTCCATTATATATATATATATATATATATATATATATATATATATATATATATATATATATATATATAAACAAAATTAAGTTATTGTATGATCATGCCCTCTAAATGTGCTTTTGTTTTAGCGCTGTTCATCGTATGCTATCACTGCCGTTGTATTTTTGCCATTTGTTTTTAGAAAAGGTTCCAGTGAAAGATTCAAAATCTCCATTCACTATTGCCGACTTCGGAACTGCAGACGGCGGGACCTCTATGTTTCTTGTAAAGAAGATGATCGGTAAATGTCCTACTCAAATTTGTTCTGTAATTTTGAATCTCGTATGGATGAATTTCACCTGCATTACTCCATTACATAAATCCAAATAATGTGCTTTCTCCTGATACTAGATTAATTGTGTCGGGGGAACTTACAACAATTTTTATTCATTTTTCAATTTACCTAAAAGCGTTCTGGGGCAACTTGAAATACACGAGGTGGTTATATAATAAGTCCTCCAAACGCCGACAATAATATTATTTTTTTGTTTTCTACAAACTTGTCTTTCTTTATCTGGTGCCTTTGGCAACACATAAATGGTCATAGAAATAACATTTATCATTAGTGACTCGAGATATTGAATCATTATACCTCTCATTTACAATTTAGAGATGAATATTAAAAATTGTGTTTGTTTCTTAAGAACTCACCATTAAGCTGTGCACCACTTTTATTAGATAGTCACGAGGACCGATCATAAATGCGAATTCAAAATGCCTGAGATATTAATTTATATCACTTTTCTATTTAAGTATTGACCTAAATACATATCCTTGATCTAGATGAACTAGTCGAAGTTTTAAGAAATGTCTTCACACTGTTTTGAATTTTTAAAGATCTATTTCACTAACTACACGAATCAAAAGCCATATTCTAAAAATACCCATACTAATACGGTGTCATTCGTCTGTTGATTTTGCGGTCCTTGTTTTGTATGTGACTAATCATAGAGTGTCGGTCAACGTAAATTTTAAAAACGTTTTTAATCTGAATTACGTTATGATGACTTTCAAACTTAAATGTACCTGTTACAGAGGTACGTAACACTTTATGTTTTCATGTTGTCCCATGTCTATCTGCACACCAGGTGTAACTAAGCCCATTCTTTACCAATCGCTCATGAATCAACGTCAGAAGCAATAAATCATAAGTTTTAGATTCTTTAGAATTTAATTTAAACTAACATGTTTCAGAACTGTTGCGTAAAAAACATGGCAAAGACTTACCAGTGCAAGTGGTGTATGAAGACCAGCCGGTGAATGACTTTAAGTCGCTGTTTTTTAGAATACAAGGTAGGTACTAAGACTTGTTGTATTAAGACCTCATGTGTGGGTTAATGGCACTATACCATATTATTTAACACAACATCTATAGTAAAATTTACCCAGAAAGGACAATGAATCGAGGGATGAATGAGTGGAAGGATTGGTGGAAAGCTGACTTGATTGATGGATGATTGATGAATTGATGTTGAGATGGATTGAAGGATGTAAGGGTCCCAGATAACATTGCGCTCATGTCACGACGCTGTAGCAGTTTCTTTGGTGTGGTGAGCCCCACATCCACAATACGTGGTGGGCTTTGAACTTCTGAATATCGATCAACTTATAAAGTCCCACAAGATATCGGTACGTCAACATTGGTGCGAAAGGGTCCCGCTAGCGATATCGAGGGTGGCCCGACATTGCACCAGATTTTTTTTTTTTTGCTCTCCCCTCCCCTTTATAATGAAAGTCATATGGCATATTTCTCAAGCACATGGAATTTTAGGCAAAACTGGCGAAAATTTAAAAATCACCTTTTGCAACTTGACGTAGAACCTAATATATATATATATATATATATATATATATAATACGGGTTTAGATTGTTAAAGTATTACCTCATGTGACCATTAAGCCAAACCAATATCATTAGTAGATTTCAGTTAATTTGGACATATGAGAGGGGAGATTGATATTATCGGAGTTGGGCCGTACACCGATGGTGTTTATGGGTATGGGGCCTAAGAGTGCTAATATACTTTTATTTTCACCAAACCCAGGTTTGCTGAGCCATGCCCCACCATCCTACATGCAGGAGTTTGACAATGTGTATGTGTTGGCCAGTGGTACCAGTTTCTACTCCCAGTGTTTGCCTCCTGGTAGCCTGCACTTTGGAATGTCCTTCACTGCCATGGAATGGTTGTCGACGGGGTATGATCGTTGTTTAATTCTATGAATGAAACCACATATCATAACAAATAATAATTTCTAAATAATATACCTGTGTGCCATTATCTGCCGTAGATTTTAAATAGCATATGAAGCTAGGGTAGATTCCCTATAACGCATATAAATCACTACCACCAGTATTTTACAATACTCAAAATAGCCCTTATGGCAATTCCCTGTAGGATCCTGCAGGGGGTTCTATAGGCCCAAAACCCTATAGGGTACAAGGGACTCCTGTTTCCAATAGGACGCTAATAGAGTCCCATTGGGTCCTATACAATTCCTTCAGCCATGTAGGGGAATCACCCCATTCCGTGTAAGTCAGCCCAAGGACGTAGTAATATGTGTGTGTGTGTGTGTGTGTGTGTGTGAGTGTGTGTGTGTGTGTGTGTGAAGCATTTCTGCTGCTGGCGCAGTAGTCTAATAAAATGAATTTTATATAGGATAGAAGGAGCAGAAAATATTTGTTCAAATATCACTTTTCTGAAAATTTGAAACGATACTCTTTGGTATGTCTTAAAGTAATACTATTTGAAACTATACGGGTGCATTTGGCCGTGTTAAGTGACAAGAATTTGGCATGCAAACGCTTTACGGTTATTGCAACCCTTTATTATCATCCAAATACCGAAAATGAGTTTTTCTTGCATCTATCTATTCAATAACACATCTTTGTGCTGATTTAAAACAATAAAAAAACCCTCGAAAATATAAAATATAAACGTTTATATTTTTTAGTTGTAATGTATAAGCAAGGGCGACTCAATGCTTTAATCGTCATTTTAGCACCTTTCTCTTTTGAGGTAAGATAGCAATTGTTATGAGGCGTTCCTGAGCAAGATTTTATCACGAAAATTGGTATAGTTGACCAGGAGAGTATAAGCTACAATCTCGTGTCGTCTTTTTGGTTTAGATGTTTTTGTTATGGACTTTTGAGCCCCTAATTACAGATTTTAATTGAACAAAGGCATTCTTTTGCTTTATCAACGATTAAATCTTAACTAAGATTTTTGGAGGACTAAATTGTATCATTAAATTGGTGTTAAAACGGTGATAGTGGGTGCTCAGGTAAAAGAGAAATTTGAGAAACCGATTTTCAGTTTTTACTCCAAAATCGCAATTATGACGTCACCCTTAAGATGACATATGTGAAAATGTTAATTAATTTAGTCACTGAACACTGATGCTTTATTTATTACACAAAAGACTGGCAGTAAATAAGGAGTTTTGGGCGAAAGGTGACAATATCCTTAACATCATGGTTTTATTGATTCACTGCATATTATATTAGTCGTTTAAAGGACAATGTTCATGTAAAAATCCATTTCTCGAATTTTGAAGATACAGCACTCAATCTATACACTAGAGGTATGTTTTAATCGATCCCCGCCATTTAAAAATTATAAAAACAATCTATTAGTAGAAAAAAAAGCGTTTTAGTAAACCTCACCTCAATATGCAAAAATGAAGCAACAGATCTGGGTCACGTGGTACTGTGACGACAATCACGATAAAGG